AACAAGACGAAAAGACAACCCTCAGAATGGTAGAAAATATTTACAAAAGAAGCAACTGACAAAGGATTAATCTCCAAAATTTACAAATAGCTCGTGCAGGTCAATATCAAAAAAAAAACAAACAACCCAATCCAAAACTGGGCAGAAGACCTAAATAGACATTTCTCCAAAGAAGATATACAGATGGCCAACAAACACATGAAAGGTTGCTCAACATCACTAATCATTAGAGAAATGCAAATCAAAACTACAATGTAGTATCACCTCACACCAGTCAGAATGACCATCGTCAAAAATCTACAAACAATAAATGCTGAAGAGGGTGTGGAGAAAAGGAACCCTCTTACACTGTTGGTGGGAATGTAAATTGATACAGCCACTATGGAGAACAGTATGGAGGTTCTTTAAAACACTAAAAACAGGACACTCCATACAACCCACAAATCCCACTACTGGGCATATACCTGGAGGAAACCATAATTCAAAGAGACATGTACCACGATGTTCATGGCAGCACTATTTACAATAGCCAGGACATGTAAGCAACGTAACTGTCCATCGACAGATGAATGGATAAAGAAGATGTGACACATATATACAATGGAATATTACTCAGCCATAAAAAGAAATGAAATTGAGTTATTTGTAGTGAGGTGGATGGACCTAGAATCTGTTTATACAGAGTGAAGTAAGTCAGAAAGAGAAAAACAAATACCGTATGCTAACACATATATATGGAATCTAAAAAAAAAAAAGAAAACAGTTTCTGAAGAACCTAGGGGCAGACTAGGAATAGAGATGCAGACATAGAGAATGGACTTGAGGACACGGGGAGAGGGAAGGGTAAGCTGGGACGAAGTGAGAGAGTGGCATGGACATATATACACTACCAAATGTAAAACAGATAGCTAGTGGGAAGCAGCCACATAGCACAGGGAGATCAGCTCGGGGCTTTGTGACCACCTAGAGGGGTGGGGTCGGGAGGGTGGGAGGGAGACGCAAGAGGGAGGGGATATGGGGATATATGTATACATATAGCTGGTTCACTTTGTTATAAAGCAGAAACTAACACACCATTGTAAAATAATTATACTCCAATAAAGATGTTAAAGAAATGGGAGCTTGTATTGTTTTTATTATTATTACCATGATTTGAATTTGGGCGTGGTCTTTAGGAAGAATGCAGGACTTGGAATAAGATCTGAGTTCTATTCTCACTTGTGTTGAGTTGCTCTACAACCTCCGCATGCTGTGTTTCACTTCCCTTTTCTGTCAGGTGAGACCCCGTCACCCACCCTCCCATGTCAAAGCTGCTGGAGAGGTCAAACATCATCTTAACTGGGAAAGAGCTTTGAGATATACATAACAGAAAAGCAAGTAAATGTTTGTATAGCTTGTCTCAGCTTATAGACATTTGTAGTCAAAATGAGTCCGAGAAAATGAAAAGGGATCAGGAACTCCTTGTTAGCTCTAGATGGGTAGAGAGGGGTGTGGGTAGATGTGAACCTGGAGGGTGAGGAACCATAATCTACTAGGTTCCTTTAACTGATTCTCCAGCACCTGCTGGCTTTAGGCCCCAAGGTTCCCAATCCTAACATCCAATTAATGCAAGGGAAGAAGGTGGAATAAGATGTGTTTTTATGCATATGCTGGTTTCTCTGGCCTGAAACGTTCTTCCAGACCTTCCCTTCCTTAGGAGCTCCCATTTACCCTTTAAGACACAGCTCAAATATCACTTCCTCTGTGAAGCCCTCCCTGCTTCCTTGGGTATTTTCACTCTCTGTGCTCTCACTGGATTGTGACCATTGCTCCATCAGATGACCTACAGCAGTGCTTTGCAATCACAGTTGAGTCTCATCATTCAGTGGTTATGTTTAATAAAGTCACCTGATTTACACATAACCTTGTTTTATGCACATTTCTGTTCAAAAACACCTTGTTTCTTATGTCTTGTGGCTTCGTTAACATTGAACTCACGGTCAACAGAACTATAACTCACGCTGAGTGAAACTCATCTAACACATATAAGATACATCACAGCCTTCTTTCACTTACATGAGACAGCACCGCAGCACTATGCTTGAGGGTCACTTTAAACAGCAAAATGACCAATAAAATGTACACAAGTGCAAAAAATTTGGCACTAAATAGACCTCAAAAAAGACACTAGTTTATGGTATGAGCTGAAACGAGAAGGCAGGGCCTCGCCTTGTTCGACCTCAGCTGGGAATGTGCATGTAGAGTGATAAATTTTTCTCTGCTCTGGGCATGGGCATGTCATGAATGACTGTGAAAGGGCTGCAAGAATTGACTTTGGGGTTACAGATAGATTTTAGTGAGCAGGCAGTTTGCAAGTATAAAGTCTGCAAAGCGTAAAATCAACTGTATTTATTTATGTGTTGGACTTTTTCACTAGCCCGAGGCTTCTTACAGAAAGGTTGGCATGTGTACTGGATATCTTCTCTTTTTTTTTTTTACATTTATTTATTTTATTTTTTGGCTGCAGTGGTCTTTGCTGCTGTGCATGGGCTTTTCTCTAGTTGTGGCGAGCCAGGGCTACTCTTTGTTGTGGTGTGCGGGCTTCTCATTGCGGTGGCTTCTCTTTGTTGTGGAGCACAGGCTCTAGGCGCCCAGGCTTCAGTAGTCATGGCTCGCGGGCTGTAGAGTGCAGGCTCAGTAGTTGTGGCACGCAGGCTCAGTAGTTGTGGCACACAGGCTTAGTGGCTCCGCGGCACGTGGGATCTTCTCAGACCAGGGCTCGAACCCGTGTCCCCTGCATTGGCAGGCGGATTCTTAACCACTGCGCCACCAGGGAAGCCCTGGATATCGTCTCTTGCTCCTCCAGACCTACTTCAGTCTTCTCACCCTGCCCTTGCCCCTGAAGACTGGCCTCTGTGGGCTACTCTACTGGGATTTCTTTGTCCTCTAGCTTCCAGTTGGGTTCGGCCAACAAGAAACCCCAGCAGTTGATGGGGGGAAGGGAGGAGGTGGGGTCAGCACATTTATTCCACAGCCTCCTCCTTGTGTTGCTGCCTTGGGCTTCCTCTGTTTCTCACTAAATGTCCTGTCCTCTCAAGGCACCTTTTCTCCAGCTGACTCTCTGCTTCCACAAGCAACTGACCACTCCCGTTCCTCATTTCTTTGGGCCTAGGGGTGGTAACTGCTCCTTGGCTGTTCTTTCCCTCTGTACTACTTACTATGGTTCTTCTAAACCCACAGTGTTAAACAGTCCTTTTGAAATAGGCTTGCCTTGAATTATCTTAATTTGACTGTGATGTGTTTGGTCCTCAACTGATATCTTATTCATTGTATACACCTGACACAGTGCCAAGTAATAGCTGGTGAATGGTAACAAATGATCTCTAAAACTCCTCCTAACAGTATCTGTATGATTCAGTTATCCCTGAAACCAGCTACTCATGATGACTTGGGAAGAAATGCAAAGTCACTGAAGACGCACTCATACACACACACACACACACACACACACACACACACACACACACTGCGCATCTTGCTGAATGGGATATGTTCTGCCTTCTCCTGAGTGTGGTGGTCTTGTGTGTTGGGAGGTTCCAGGCAGAGTAGGAACTGCAGGATAAATGCTCTCTGAGAAACCGATCTGTTCATCCATCCTGCTCTAGAAGCTTCCTCTCTGGGTCATTTGCCAGGGGGAGTCAAGCCCAGAGGTGAGTCCCACAAAGGACTGTGTGGAAGCCACAGGCTTTCTCACTGGTACCTGATGGTCCTCTGGGTGCATGAGCTGGCTCCAGCAGTGGATGTGGGCATTTGGTGAACTGAAAGGTACAGGGAGAGCTCAATACACCCAAACTATAATAACCCAGCCCTTATTTCACTGGGATTTTAAGAGGGAGGAAAACAGCTGTGCCTTGCTGTCCAACTGTGGCTTAAGAGCTCCGAGTTACAATTTCCACATGTCACCCACACAGCAGATGACAGAATGAGTATGAACAATAATTTGGTACTAGGAGCAAGTCAGAAATCATCTCCAGATTGGTTTCTCTTTCACCAGCTTTCCCTCTCTCAAATCCACTCTCCACACTGCTGCCAGAATATATTTTTAAACACAAATTTGACCTTCTCTCCTTGTTCAATGACATTTTTCCTCTCTACAACTAGAGTTCCAACTTTTTGTGTGTTTTAAAATCTAGGTCCTAGATTTATAGCCTTAGATTAAACTTGTCTACCCCTTCTATTATCCTCACCCCTGCTGAGAGCACACACACACACACACACACACACACACACACACACACACACACACACACACACACTTTGCCCCAGCAATGGTAAACTGATAATGGCTTCCCAATATATTTCGTTCCCTCTATCCCTCTACCTGGAAAGTATTTCTCTTATTTCTGCCCATTGGCTTGCCTAAAAAAAGCATAATTCATCTTCAAAACTGAGTCAGAGATGATATCTTCTGTGACAGTGCTTCCCAAACTTTAATGTGCAGATGATCACCTGTAGATCTTGTTAAAATGTAGATTCTCATTCGGTTTATCTCAGGGTGGAGAGAGAATCTGAATTTCTCACAAGCTAGTAATGCTGCTGTTGCTGGTCCGGGGACCACATTTTGAGTAGCAAGTTTCTAAGAAGTTTCCACTGATGTCGCCCTTTGCGCAATAGATTCCGTCACTTTTTCTGAGCTCTTCTCTACTTTGACCTTATTTCTGTTGTTGCTCTAATTGCTGTATTATAATTTTACTCGTTTGTATGTCTGCCTTCCCAACCATACCTGGAGTTTCTTAAAAGTAAAGACTGTGTCTCTTTCATCTTTGTTTCTGCAGCACTCAGCGCAGCATATCAGAGATCACAGGAAGCATTTGATATTTACTTGGTGAAACAATGTTGAACGATGTATAGTCTTTATTTGTCTGTGGAATGTGAAACTATGTAACCATTATTATTTATGGAAAACTTTTGGTTGTCTGACATTGGGATAAATATGGACTCAGGCTATACATACCCTATTTACTAAAATGCACGGCTTTATTTGCTAGACCCAACCTTTAACTTGGTGTGATTTACAAAGCATAAGAGATATTTGTAACATTTTAATTGTGAACATTAGCAATCACTGTACACTAATAAATATTCAATCTATCCAAATATAAATACATAGTCTCAAAAGGGCATAATGCAAAATCTATAAAATGTATCTAGAACTAAAACTTTGCATAGGGGAATTCCCTGTGAGCACATGGCACCATTTTCAAAATGTGAAAAGGAAAAAAAAAGCCAAAAACCAAACAGGCAGAAGTCTATTTTGCAGGACACTGAGAGGTAACCTCTTGACACATGTTAAGTTAAAGGCTCAATGATTCTGAGCTTGAACAAGATAATACCATGTAAGGGAGAATTTTTCTGAACCATACCACAGAAATCAGTCAATTCTGATGTTTTCCTTCTAGGCTGGATGTTCCAGAAATCATCTCTAATTAAAGGTTCCAAAAAAGAATGTACAAAATGCCAAAAAAGTAAACAGGGATGATTTTGGATAAGTTGAGAAATATCATCTTCTAAATGATAGGTTTTTTTTTTTTTGAAGCTACCAGTTTCGCAATAATTATACTTAAAAGTTGTACATCTGCATCTTCAGCCAGTCAAAATATCACATGATTTTTTAGAAAGAGCTGATTTCAACACCATCCAAAAAGAGTTTTCCCTGAACACTGTATGAAAATTAAATCTCTCTTACATCAAGGAATACCCTTCCCCAGAAAGTGTCCAAGAAGACTGCAGCCGGCTCAAAGTTGAAGTGATAATTCAAGGAAGTATTTATACTTCTGCAGGAGAATCTTTTAAAGCTGCTTTGAAGCTCATCTACAAATTACTTCATGCAATATGACTCTGGTGGGTTGAGTGAATCAAAGGGCTAATTACTCCTTTAGTAACTCCAATGTCATTAACTCTGATGAAGGTGAGGATACAGATGAGGAAAAAAAGATCCTATTCCAAGTTGGAGGGCTACACTGCCAGCCACCCTGGTCTACGCAGGAGCAGCTTTACTTGCTGATGGTGCTGTGTTGGCTTCTTTATTGGCTCTCTAGGACTTTCCCCTCTACTGTTCTTACCTCCTCAGCAATCCCTTTCACCCTCAGTAGAAGGCAGTGTTGAATAAAAATAGAGAAACTGTGCATTGCAGTCAGCCAGAGGTGGGCTATATTCTTCCTAGCTCTGTCACTTCAGGCAGGTGTCCAAGCTTTTCAAAGCCTAAGTTCCATTATCTGTAAAATGGGAATAATAATAATATCTCACTGCACTGGTGTGAACTCAGGGTGAATTGAGATTCTGCAGTTAAGGCTTGTAGCTCAGTACATATTCACTTTGCATATTCAAGTGCTCAATCAACAGTAGGCATCCTTGTGCATCTTGGAAGCCCCCCACTCGGTGCCTGACTCAGTTTCCATCCAGATGGCTTGAACAAGAACAGACCTCTTACTCCTCTCTTAGAATCTGGGGAGACTTGGAAGTCTCAACCTTAAAGCTGCAAATCTCTAGGGCCTAAACCAGCTTCAGTTTCTCTGCCAGGCCACACTCCCCAGCACAAGTCTGCACTCTGTTGATGAGGATGGAAGAATGCAGAGAGGGGACTGATTCCTGTAGGCCTCAGTAAGTCAGTGTTTACGGAAGCCATGATTTCCTCCCAGGATGCCTGTGGAAGCATTCGGCACAGAAGGGGACTCAGAGTCACTTGCTTGGCTTGGTAGTAAAGATGAGCATCCAAGTGGTTACAACCTAAGGCCTTTCCCTGTACCAGGTGTTTCCACCATCTGATGCCCTCTTTCTGCCCAGACACCAGATACCCAATACTCCAGCGGTGAGATCAGAATTGTTCACCCCAGTCCATTATGCTCCCTTCAAGGAGAGAGGTGCCAGTGTCCTCTATGAGTAAAACCTCATAAAGCTGCTTCTCAGAATATCCGGCCTCTAATGTGAGCAGCTGTTCCATCTTCCTCTAAGGCAGGAAGCTGTGGTTGACAGCATCACAGAGGCAGAGCTTACTCTTTGTGACTTTAATTAACTCACTAGTTCTTGAAAAAGAGTCGTGCTCCTTGTTCATCTTGCCCCATATCCTGGGATTCTGTGTTGTCAGGTCAAATAAAAAAATCCCTTGACCATGAACTTTAGGTCCATGTTTAAAATAACAGTAAGGGTCCTGCCCCATCTCTCCCTTTCTCTAAGAAGTGCAAGAAATGTTGCTTGAAAGCTGTCGATTGAGGTTTGCGCTCCACACAAGATAAGAGCCTGGAGGAAGGGTACAGACTGCTCTGGCCCTGCTCCCAGTTCAGTGGCTGAGCCTCCTGCCTGTGGCCTGGTGCCCGCCTCTATCAGGCCACTGCCTCCGTGGCAGCTTAGGGACTGGCGCCACAGGCCAGTTGCCTCTGAGGAGTCCTGGGATGGTGGCAGCTTTTAATGCTCTGTGGTGGGAAGACCTCCTTGCCCCACTCAGGATCTGCAGCCCATGGCCTGGCACTGAGTCTCTTTTAAAGTCCCGATTCTGCAATTTCAGCCAGTTGACTCAAGAGTCTGGAGAAAGGTGGCCGGTCTTCTGGTTTCTAGAGAGGGAAGAAAAGAACTCTGTGATTTCCTTGTACTTGTGTGTCATAGCTAATTCCAAAGCAAACCAGAGTTAAACAGCAATCCGCTCTGCTGAGTTTTAAATATGCTTCTATATATATTGTATTTGAGGCCATTATGTCTTAGTTGTTAACAGCAGGTATTTTGGAGTCATATGGCCTGCTTTTGAATCACAGCTTTTCCACTCATTGGCTGTGTGACCTTTGAACAGGTTACTTAACCTTTTTGAACCTCAGTTTTGTCATCTGTAAAGTGGGGATAATAATATTATCAATCTCATAAGATGTTGTAAGAAATAAATAAAATTGTATATAAAAATGCAACATAAAATAAGCACTCAGTAAGACTAAAAAAGAAAATATTTAGGTATAAATCTCATAAAATATGTATAGGATCTATTTTAGGAAAAATATAAAATTCTAAAGAAAGAAATCAAAGGAGAGCTAAATATATCGAGACATATTCCATGTTCATGGTTAGGAAGGCTTGCTATTTTTAAGATGTCATTTCTTTTCAACTTGATGTATGGATTCATCACAATCACAAGAATCCCAGCAAGTTATTTTGTAGATACTGACAAACCAACTCTAAACTCCATATGGAAAGGCCAAAGACTCAGAATAGCCAACACAATACTGAAAAAGAACAAGTTTGGAGGACTGATACTTCCTGACTTCAAGACTTACTATAAAGCTATAGTAATCAAGAGAGCATGGTATTGGTGAAAGAAGAGACAAATAGGTCAATGGAATAGAGTTGGGATCCCAGAAATAGACCCACACAAATGTAGTCAAATCTTTGACAGAGGAGCAAAGGCAATTCAATGGAGAAAGGGTAGTCTTTTCAACAAACGGTTCTAGAGCAATTGGACATCCACATGCAATACAATGACTCTAGACACAGACCTGACACTCTTCACAAAAACTTACTCAAAATGGATCATAGAACTAAATATAAAATGCAAAACTTATAAGACATCTAGAAGATAACATAGGAGAAAATCTGGGTGACCTTGGGTTTGGCAATGAGTTTTTAGATACAACACCAAAAGCACAATTCATAAAAGAAAAACAATTGATGTTGAACTTTGTTAAAATTAACAACTTCTTCTCTGTAAAAGACTTCTGCTCTGTAAAAGGCACTGTTAAGTAAATGAAAAGATAAGCCATAGTCTGGGAGAAAATGTTTTTAAAACACATATCTGATAAAGGACTTATATCCAAAATATGCAAAGACTTCTTAAAACTCAAAAGCAAGAAAACAAATAATCCTATTAAAAAATGGGCAAAGATCTAAGCAGTTACCTCATTTTAAAAGGTATACAAATGGAAAATACACATATGAAAAGATGCTCAACATCATATGTTAGGGATTTGCAAATTAAAATAACAATGAGATACCACTGTATTCTTATTAAGATGGCTAAAATCAAAGCACTGACAATGCCAAATGCTGGTGAGGATGTGGAGCAACAGGAACTCTCATTGCTGGTGGGAATGTGAAAATGGTAGCCCTTTTGGAAGACAGTCTGGCAGTTTCTTACAAGGCTAAACATTTTCATATGATAGTGTTATGAAACTATTCATTTCATATGATCCAGGAATCACACCACTAGATATTTACCCAATTGAGCTACAAATCTATGTCCATATAAAAACTTGCACACAAATGTTTATAGCAGCTTTATTCATAACTGCCAAAAACTGGAAGCCACCAAGATGTCCTTCAGTAGGTGAATGGATAAACAAACAACTGTGGTATATCCATACAATGGAAATATTATTCAGTGATAAAATGAAGTGAGCTTTCAAGCCATGAAAAGACATGGAGGAATCTTAAATGCATAGTTCTAAATGGAAGAAGCCAATCTGAAAGGCTGTATGATTCAACTATGTGACATTCTGGCAAAGGCAGAACTTGGACAATAAAAAGATCAATGGTTTCCAGGGATTTGGGAAGAAGAGGGGAAGGGATAAATAGGTGAAGCACAGTGCATTTAAAGGCAGTGACACTATTCTGTATGATACTATAATGGTAGATACATGATATACATTTGTCAAAACTCACAGAACTGTACAAAAAAAGCAGTGAACCTTAATGTAAAACATGGACTGTAGTTAATAATAATGTATCAGTGGTGGTAGAATAATTATAACAAATGTACGCCACTAATGCAAAATGTTATTTATAGGGGAGAACTCTCTGCACTGTTTGCTCAAATTTTCTATAAACCTAAAACTTCTAAACAAAGTCTATTAATTTAAAAAATTAATAAAAATTAAAAAAAGAAAAAAGTACTAAATGTCAGCTATCATAATTGTTATAGTATTTAATCCTTGAGAAGTGGACTAGATTTGTTTTGTACCCTTCTTTATGTCTTTATGGTTTATTCCTTTGTTTCTGATGACAAAAGCTCTATGAACTTATTATTTAACATTATTTAATTATCTTACAGTAAGATAATTTAACATTATTTAATTATCTTACAGTAAGAAAAAGGAGGTTCAGAGAATGGCCCATGATTAATGATTAAGAAATGATAAAACTGAGATAAAACCCAAGTATCCTATACTTTTTAAATCCCCCCTGTTACCCTTCCATGATCCGAATTTGTGTTAATTCTCTATTCAGCAACTTTCAACTGTGGTTGAAATTTAAAATTTGCTAACTCACCCAAGGACATTTAACATTTACGCTGATGTGGCTTAAGGCATAGCCTGCCACCCAAGGATAACTGAGATGTCTGGGAGGGTGCAGAGTAATTGGCTCCCGTTCTGAATTGTTGTATGAATAAAATGAATTTTAATTCAGTCATTTTAATAGTTTCACAGCACCAGTGAACTTCTGTTTACCAGTTTATAGAACTAACTTCATGTATATTTAACGGTTTTATGATGTTACAGATGCTGTTTTTCTCAAAAAATTGACATAGGCCTTCCCCACTCTTCCTTTCTGACAGTATGTTGATGGCTTGTGACATTATATTACAAATCAAATAACATTTAAGGTCCCCGCCAGCTCTTCTAGGGATGAGTAACTCCTTTAGTTAATAGATGCTCCATGTCACTTTCTTGCTAATCTATTTTGTCATCCCTACTGCCTCATCCTCTGAGAGGGTTCCTTTCTTCAGGGATGGGGGCAGACCCTGCAATTGCAGATTATAATGAGGCGGGGGGAACCACTTCCTTTACTGACCTCTTTCCAGCAATGATTCATGATCTGGTAGATATGTGAGGAGGCCAGTCGAGGCTTGTATAACCGAAATCCAGTGGTGATGTCTTCCACCACCTCTGAGTTGCTTCGGTTTTCATACGGGATTTTGCCTTCACTGAAGACTTCCCACATCAGCACACCTATGAGAAATGGTGAATCGAAACAGCTAGTGATAAAGTTCCTAAATAGCGAACAAACCAACTTACCTCTAGAAATCACAGACTCCTTGACATTAAGATTCAAGTCCCTACCTCCAGAAAGTACAATATCAAAAGCCACCTGAGGCTTATTAGGCCTGTGGTATTTCTAAAGAGCCATTTCCCTACCTTTCTAGTGGTGAAGAATGTTCAAGCTCGGCCCTTTGTTATATCTAACTCAAATGCTACTACTAAAAGTTGCAGGCGATGTAAACTCAAATGTCTACACATGATATAGATGAATGGAGTGGATGAGGTCTGCATAATAGTCCTAGGGAGGACTGTGAAAAACTGGAGGTCAAAAATTCTGTCCCCAAAGGGGCAGCTGTGATTTAGCTCCAGCCAGCATAGGGCACATGGGAATGAAGGCTCTGAATTGCCCCATTTTCTGACTTTTTAAAGATTAGTCATAAATTGGGAGTTTTAAAATATAAACTCAATTTGATTTAAAAGAAATACTGGGGCTTCCCTGGTGGCACAGTGGTTGCGAGTCCGCCTGCCGATGCAGGGGACACGGGTTCGTGCCCCGGTCCGGGAAGATCCCACATGCTGCGGAGCGGCTGGGCCCGTGAGCCATGGCCGCTGAGCCTGCGCGTCCGGAGCCTGTGCTCCGCAACGGGAGAGGCCGGCGTACCGCAAAAAAAAAAAAGAAAAAAAAAAAAGAAATACTGTGTTAACCAAGCAAAAAGCTTTAGGTTGTCCATTTTTGACCTCTGATTTAATCCCTTTTCCTTTTCTGCCCTCAGTAGAAATGTTACACCTAGCTTTATTATGTACTCATCTATTCGTAGGTTGTCAGAGTGGGAACAGAGCTTGCAGATCACCTAATCCAGTGGTTTTCAAAGCATAGTCCAGGGATCCTGAGGGCAGAGTTTTCCAAAGTATGATCCCTAAAACATCTGAAGTTTTGAAAAATCAACTCAGAAATTTGTTCCAATGGCAGATCCTGGGCCCTAGCCCAGACAACTGGATTAGAATTTCTAAGGGATCCTCAGAAATGCCTCAGGAGTTTTGGAAATTCAGTAAATAAGACCAATTAGTACCCCAAGATGCCACGATTTCTGGTGAGATTTCTTTGGAAAATGGGGGAAAGCTGGCTGGAAAACAATTGCCTTCAGGCAAACCTTGTAATGCACTGAGGAACTGAGTAAGGCCCAAAGAGGTTAGTTGAGTTGTTTAAAATAGTGCAGTTCATATATATGGAATCTAAAAAAAAAAAAAAAAGGCTCTGAAGAACCTAGGGGCAGGACAGGAGTAAAGACGCAGACGTAGGGAATGGACTTGAGGTCACGGGGAAGGGGAAGGGGAAGGTGAGACGAAGTGAGAGAATGGCATTGACATATAAACACTACCAGATGTAAAACAGATAGTGGGAAGCAGCCTCATAGCACAGGCAGATCAGCTCATGCTTTGTGACCACCTAGAGGGGTGGGATAGGGAGGGTGGGAGGGAGATGCAAGAGAGAGGGGATATGGGGATATATGTATACCTATAGCTGATTCACTTTGTGATACAGCAGCAACTAACACAACAATGTAAAGCAATTATACTCCAATAAAGATGTTAAAAAAATAGCGCAGTTAATTAGGGGCAAAACCTCAAAATGCGTGACAAAGCCCAGTGGCCTTGAGGCAGGCAAAAGCTCTGCTCCATCCAGGTTTCTGTTTCTCAGGTTTGCCACCCCAGTTTTCTCAGCCCTCTATTCTGCTTCCATCAGTCAATCTCATCTGTGGACACTTCAAATGACATATCCTAGGAAGGGATGGACTTTAGCTCAACCCTCTAATTATAATATACAGAAGCAAAGTCCTAGGCTGACAACCTGTGGCAGAATAAACCCCATTCCGAGTCAGCAGGTGAATGCGACAAAGTGCTCTGGCTGCAAACATCTCTTTATGGGACACCTGGCGTGGTGCAGCATGACCCGCCGTACCGATAGAGAGTGGCCGCACATCAGCCATATACCCTTTCTAGTTATATGCACCGGGGAAAAGAGAATGTGAGGTTGCTCAAGCGCAGTTTGTTTTCTTCTAAGTTCATTCTGTACCTTAAATTTGACTAACAAAGTCATAGTTAGGCCTGTTGAACAGGGTAACTACTTTAAGGAACAATTCAGAAGGACTCAAAATCAAAAATCACTTGGTTGTTGGAAATGGATATTCTAAAATGCTGGAGAAGATTAGTTAGTTCTCCTCGTAAGAGATTTAATTAGTCATCTTCTCCCTGGTTTCTACTACTAGTCAATATATTTGGCAAACCTTCCCTTCACATAGAATGACAACATCGAACTCCAAACTATTCCTGTCCGAAGTAGAATCCTTCTTACAATCCAAGTCAAAGAGGTTGTCCAGTATAGTTTTGTGTATACATTAATATGCAAAAACTATGGCTTAGAAAGACATGACACATCCAGCAAGAATATTTAGTACTTCTTGCCACACCAGCATCATTCATTTTGTCTTTTCATTCTTGCCCATTTGCACTTATAAGAAGTTCTAATTCCTTACCATGGCCTGCTGATTTCATTGCCTACAGTTCTCCCACTAAGTCAGTACCTCTTTTCTTTGGACACACCAAGCTTTGGCACTTGCTGCTTCCTTTGTTAGAGACACTGTTCCCTGGACCTTCAAATGGAGACAGCTCCCTCTCATCATTCAGCTCTCTGCTCAACAGTCACCCCCTCAGAGAGGCCTTCCCGGACCCTGCTATTTAAAACAGACCCTCCCTCCATTCCAGTTACTCTCCTTCCCATTACTCTTTTGTTTTATTCATAGCACTTACCACTACCTGACTTTATCTTATACACATATTTGTTAGCTTGTTTACATGATTGTTACTGTCTCCCCTTAAAACTTGGCTCCAAGAGAATAGGAGCCTTTTCTATCCTATGTACCACTGCTTTGTGAGCACCTAAATTAGCTCCTAGCATGTAGTAGATGCTCAATAAATCGTTGTTGAATGAATGGGTAAAATACTTTATTGAGAGTTAAATGTGGGAATAAATGTGAGAATAAATATAATGTTAGAAAAAACATGATCCTTGCTCTCAAGGGCTCATATTCTAATCTCCTGACTCCAGCTTTTGATGTCACGGCAGCTATCACCAGCATCCTGTTTTCGCTTTTATTTTTGCCCCTATTTCAAAAATGTCCAAGAATAGATACAATAATGAGGGCCCCTTCATTCCTTTCAGAGCTGTTTCTACAGACTCTCAGTGGGACGCCCTCACCACCCAGTGTTCAGGGCAAGTAAGGCTGCCTGAATTTGACAAATAAAACAGCTGGCCCACAGTCCCAGGTCATGTGGGAGTGGGGCCAGAATGACACTTACCAAACGACCACACATCCGACTTGCTGCTATAGCGACTGAAAGAGAAGACTTCCGGGGATGCCCACTTCACCGGGAATTTGGTGCCTGAGGAACTGGTGTACTGGTCATCAAGGACGAACCTGGGGAAAGAGGGGAGAGAGATTGTCTGAGTGTCCTGGTGGCCTGCATCCCATTCCTGAGACTCTGCCGGCACCACAGGTCCGTATTACCTTGTCATCCCAAAGTCGGACACCTTGATGACTTGGTTTTCTCCAACCAGACAATTCCGGGCAGCCTGGAGCAGAGACAGGCAAACAAAAGGGAAAGGAAAACTTGGTGGGTAATCAGTAATTAAGGAGTCTCCTATAACCACAGTCCTTTGCTTTTCCATGTGCTGCATTGCAGAAGCAATGAGGAGCTTCACAAATGCTAGTTAAGCTTCACTAGGGCCTGATGGAAAGTTGAATGTTAAGATCCTTTATCGGGATGAGTAAATCTGGTCTTTCATCTTCATTCCTGGTATCCTAATCAGAAGAAAAATCCATAGTGTTGTGTAACCAACTGTAAACTCCAGTGCAACCTGATGTTAACCTCAGGGATGATATGAAGAAGCTGTTACCCATTTGACTAAAATAAGAATGTGTTGAACTTGCGAATTCTCTTAAAACTATTCCTCAGTAGGGATGGTACATGGTCCCTAATTCGACTGGAAGAGCCCTTACCAAGAAAAGACCCATGAGTCTCAAATTTTAATGTGCCTGCAAATCTCATGGGGGGACATGTTAAAATGAATATTCCCAAGCCTCAACCCCCAGAGATTCTGAGGATGGTTCTAGGATCACCCCAATGTGATCCTGGTAGATCCTTGGATAACATTTTGAGAAACATGTGCTTGTCAATTTCTTTCATTTTTTTACCAAGAGGAAAAGGAGGCACAGAGAGGTTAAAAAGGAGAGGCTGTTAGCTTTATTGAGAAAGAATGTAAACTCCAACTCAGAGGGTGAAAGTCAGAGGTGGGGCTGGAAATAGAGCCCAGATCTGAGTCCCATGAGGACATCCCACAGTTTGTGGAGGAAGGAAGAAGTCGAGAGGGGAAGGAAGAGGGCTTATGCCTTGTTATTGATTCATGCATTCCCAGTCTTCGTAGCTCTACATTTCAGTGGGACATGCACCTTCACCCTAGACCTGTAGGGGTTTGCCCCACGCCCTCTTACCAGGTCTCTGTGGATGACACACGCCTCTTCCAGGTAGGCCATGCCCTCACACACATCCAGGCACATGCCCAGCAGGGTCTCTGCAGCAAAGAGCCCCCGCTGGCTGCGCAGGTAATCTGACAGGCAGCCATGTTCCATGAACTCAAACACCAGGCAGATGGGGGCTTGCTCCAGGCACACTCCATAGAGCTGGACCAGCTTGGGGTGAGAGAGTTTCCTGGAGAAAAATGGCAAGGGGTGAGATGGTCTAAGTTTAGTCTCCCAAAAATACACTCCCTCCCCCAAACAAAAATGTCTCATTGAGCTGAGACCAGAAGAATGCAGGGATTCAGCTGGTGTACGCGAGAATGAACAAAGGCCAGTGTGGTTGGCATGTCATGGAACCAGAGGAAAGATGGGCAGGAGATGAGATTGGGGAGTGGGCAGGGCCAGACCATGGTGGGCCTTTTAGACCACAGTGAGGAGCTTGGAGTTATTCTCCATACCATGAGAAGCCATCGCTGGACTTGAGCAGGGAGGTGGCACAAGATGGCATCAGAATGGTATTCAAAGAGCATAGCACAGAACATCCTTCCCAAGGTATCTCTGCCTACTCTTGTTTTGGCCACTCACATCATGACTTCAGCCTCCTCGACGAAGTCCTCTTCTGACATAGCTCCTTCCTGAATGGTTTTGATGGCCACCTTGTCCCTGTTGAGCCAGTAGCCAAGATGCACCAACCCAAACTGCCCGCTACCAATCTCCTGCACAAAAGTGAGCTCTGAGGGATCAATCACCCATTTTCCTGGAAGAGAAAGAGTTTTCCAGAGTTGGCAAGCAGTAGATATGAAGTATAGGACTCCCAGGAGACTATATATATATATATATATATATATATGGCCCTATACAGCCCTATATATATAACAATTAGCCTATTGTTAATATAACTCAAAGATAGCAAATGGTATAAGCCTGTATACTTAGAACTATAGATAGATAAAAGTATCTTTTTTCCCAAATAATAACATAGAGTATGTATTGAAAGCCATGAAAAATGTGCGTGGGGACGATTACATGGAAAGAGAAAGGAGGATGGCATTAGTTGAGATATTAAAGAAAGTCAATGAAAGGGTTCTAAGGTCCCAACCATTTCCTATACCTGACTGAAAAAGTTTTACTGTCATTTTTCACATAGAGCAAGTTTTATTTGAACTGGTCATTCATTCATTCATTTATCCATCAAGAGCATCCATTATGTACATAGCACTTGCTAGGCCTTAGCAGGGGTTAGGGGTAAGGTGGTGGATTCCAAGAGGACTGGTACAGAGGTGCAAGCCAGCACACAGTCTCGCACGTAAGTAGGCTTTCAATAAATGCTCAGAAAAAGAATAAAAGGGATCCGAGTCTCAGTTTTCACACTGGCAAAAATGAGTGGGCTCATAAAATACTCTCTGGGCTTCCATCCAGCATGGGCACATTCGGATTCCACAGGCATTAGAATTATCTTATTTTTATAAGGAGGCTGAGGGGCATTATCCTTTCCTGATGCTTGGTCTAGTACCATAAACAGTTCAGTTTCTATCTCTTTGAGGCACAGACTCAAGAGAAAACAGTACCGAGCACCTACTGTGTGCAGATATGGTGCTGGTTAGGGATGGAGAGCCCACACACTGTTTCTCAAAGTATCACCCTTTAACCCCTGTGTCAAAATCACCTAGGGCACTTGTTGAAAAGGCAACCCCAGGACCCCACTGTCTGGGACTGTGTTTTGGTAAATGTTGGGTCGGGGCTGGAAGTCAACACTTTTCCTAAGCATCCTATGTAACTCTGATGCACAGTGAAGCTTGAGAACCACCAATCTAGAAGATATAAAATGAAAGGTACACCAGCCTTCTCCTCGACCAGCACAGTTTGGACCAGGGGATGCAGGCAGAAAATCACAAGTGGGTGAAACGGTTCCATAGGACAAGAAGGAATAGTAGGGCCTATGGCCCTAGAGATGCATGCCCTGCCTAAAAGCATTCAAAAAAATTTAACACAGTGCTATGCAGACAGACATTTCTGGATGCTGCTAGCTTACAGCACTTGCAATGGACCCATACATAACAAACTAGATGATACAGAAGTTCTAGAAAATAGGCAAGAACACAGTACTATAGCACTGGTTCCTAATATTTTTTTCTAATAGCATTTAGCAGAGTGCTCTGTACAAAGGAGGTGCTCAGTAAACACTTCATTGATGAACTGTCATCTAAAACCAATAGACATTGATTTGACCTAGATAAATGTGCATACGTATAGATGTAATCTTACACACATTGTAAATGTTCATTTGTGCACACCATCTCCAGATATACAGTGTACCTGTTTAATGATCATTTTACGTCTGGGGAAGTCCATTCAGAATTTACCCCAGACCTCTAGGGATGTGAGTTAGTGCAAATGAATAACATTCCTAAATGCACTGCTTACCATATCTCAGCCCTGCCGTGACCGGGGCTTTCTGCCTCCAGGAACTAACTGGATACCGGAGTCTAGTGACTAGGCCTGGGTTGATTACAAAGTGAAAGGCAGTCATTAGAGTTTTACCATAGCAACCATCCAAGTCAAATCACCAGGAAAAAATATAATCCAATGCAAAAGCTATTTTTATTCTGGAAAACAAATTCCAAAGCCCAATCACTGATATTACATCTTCCCTGAGAAGAGGTATTATGTCACAGGTGGGCAGGTGGTAAAATATCATGATTCCAGCAGCAGAATTTGCTAATGAAGAATATGTAATATAATCAAATATTTGGCATCCTTTTCTATTTGTATAGTTATTATTTATGGTCAGTTTGTCTGAGATGAAGAAACCCAGCTGGGTGTTTGTCACTTTTCTCCAAGTTCCCCTGTGAGGGTCCCCCTCTGGCCTTGTCCCTTAGAACTCACCTCCTCCATTGTGTTGGTGATAATTGACGAGGAGAGGGATGGAATCAAACACGTACTTTTCAGCCACGTAATATCGCTTGGGGTTGTCATTTGTTTCTTTGATGTGATAGTGCTTTATACAGGGGTTGTTCTCACTTAAACAAATGAAACATAAATGCAGTGATTATTAAGAGGCAATGTTTAGAGACAGAAATATCTACTGGTAGGTCTACAGATTCCTATTAGCTTTGTTTTTTGCCCTCTCACATGGATGGCAGATATATTTCAACTTGTGTGTCAGTCTTGACAGGCTGGCCTTGGGTGCTGTATTAAGAAGGACTCTGAGGCTGCATCTGGACTCAGGATTGGTGCCATGATGGATTGGTGATGTTTCTTCCAAAACCTCAAAATGGACAGTCGTCTTGTATGTGCTACATGTTTGCCTTCCCTGCTGTGTGGATTTAACTAATCTTCAGCATATGTTAAGGAAGCATCTTGGCCCTTTCGTACTTATTTGGCTTTGTATAGCAGAGTTAACATAGCAGCCCTGAGTGCTATCCTTAGAAAGGTCTGCTTGCAAGATTGGCCCTTGGCTGGCTTCTGAGAACTTAGATTTCAGGAGGGCTCTCACCATTCTCTAACTGATAAGGATGGCTCCCTATACCTAAATTGTTTGTATAAACAATGTGGCTTATGCTCAATGCTTGCTTTTCTCCTGGGAGTTTCGAATTTTGCTATGTGCTAGGCAGAGGGTACCCAGGTGACCAGCCCCCAGTGAAAGGATCTGTAAGGTTCTGGAATGTGGTAAGGACTCAATAAATGGTGGATAGTTTTATTAGCAGAGCCAGAACTAGAATTCATATTTTCTCGCTTGCAGTCAAAAGTATCTTTTCTTTTATTCTTTGGATTAAACTATAAATGCATCAAATACAGGACCAGGTATTTATTTCTTTAGAGCTTTGCACTCAGGGATGCCAACTGGGAAGTCAACCTGGCATCCAGCCCTAGCTCTGTCACTTTCTAGGTAAGTGACTTCAGTTATGTTCTTAATCTCCCTAGCCTTGGTTTTCTCAGAGCGATCAGGGAAGCACAGTATTTCTAGGGACTCCTCTACCTCTTGCACTGTCTGACATTCCTGTGTGTGGCTCATCGCTCACCCACCTCAGGACTGTCTCTCCCCACTTTGCTGAGTTAGCACCATACCTTACGATGGCCTTGGTGAAAACAGACACAGTGTATGTCCCTGGAGTCCTGGAATCTCGTACCATGAAGGCTCCTTCTTTGCCCTGGAAGGGTTAGAAAGAATGGAAAATCAGTGATCCCAGGAAACCAGGCTCATGCATCCAGCTTCACTTTCTTGCCTGTGAAAGGAGGAAATACTGTAGGCCAGCTTGGCACAGAGCAGCCTTTCAGCTATAATGGCTACCGTTTCATTCATTCATTCCAGAGACATTTCTTGAGCTCCTACCCATGGTTCCAAGACTATTCTAGTGATGACATAAACTGTAAACGGAGGCAAACAGACACAGGCTCTTCCCTCTAGGAGCTCATTACAGATATTGCCCAGCCGTCACCACAACATTGCAGTCTAGATGTTATTATCTTCAATTTCCTGAGGAGGATACTGAGTGCTGCAGAGCTGAAGTGACCCTCTCACAACCTACAGATATAGGTGGCAGACCTGGGATTTGAACCTTGAATGTGGCAGGTGAGCAAAACCTTTGCTCATTCTACTAGTCCGTGGTGCCTCCATTCAACAAACGTTAGAAGCCATTTCTCTGTTCCCCACAAGGGTACAAAACTTCTGTCTTGGAAGCTTCATCAGTTTCTTAATGGGAATATATTTTGTAGGCCCTTTCTCAGGTGCTGATTTTGCTGCAGGGCAAAAGGAGAAAGAAAACAAAGCTGCTGGTTGCATGAGGGAAGTGGAGAGAAGGGGAAGCCCCCAAAATATGCCCTTCAGCCCACTGACAATTTTGCCAGTGCTGATGAAATAAGTACTAACAAACAGGGGAGACCAGTTTTTTCAGTCCTGGTAGGAACTTGAAAGTCTTAACTCTTTTTTGAGTACTTTGTGTCTAAGGCTCTGTCCCTACCCACCTGTCAATCTGTGCTGGTGATATTTGCAAAATCTGTTGCTATGGTTTGCTTAACTTAGACACGCTAAGGGCCATAAGTGAAAGCCAGAGAGAGAGGAACCTCATGTGGTGGGCATACACTTGTTGTATATGGAGCAAAATATACACAGTTTAGAAGCTCTTCCACACCCTAATCCCAAAGGTGGGTCATCTACACATACAAATAATACACAGATGGCCATGCTAATTGTTTGCATCCTAGAATCTCAGGGTTAGAAAAGACCTTTTAGAAGAAACTAGAAAGGTTCTGTAGCCCAGGGTTATCCCAACCTCAGTACTATAGATGTTTGGGGGGCAGTAATTCTTTGTCATGGGGGCTGCCCTGTCATCACAGGATGTTTAGCAGCATCCCTGGCCTCTATCAACTGGATGCCAGACATTGTCACATGTTCCCTGGGGGACAAAATCACCCCTGGTTGAAAACCACTGATCTGGCCTAACTCCCTAAACCCCTGTGCCCCAAACTGTTGGTGATCACAATCACCTGAAGAATCTAAAGCACAGAACAAGACAAAACAAAACAACGACTACGAGCTGTTTACAATGCTTCCCCCGCCCCCCGCCTCCCCATACCTACACACTAGGAATCTCCAGGACTGAGGCCCTGGGACCTGAACTTTTAAAATGCTTGTGGACATCCAGATTTGGTCTCCAATGACTCAACTGAAAATGCATTTCTTGTTTATAACAGTCCTGAAGAGTAGTCCCTGTCGTCTGAAAGAGCACTATTAGTTAGAAAGTTCATCCTCATGTAGACACGTAACCTGCTTCCTCTGACTTGGCCCTAAACCCACAGAGGGGAATTTTGGGGGGGGACGGTTGGCCCTTACATCATTGTGCATTCTTGCCAAACTTAGAGGTTACCACAACAACTTTGTGAGACTCCCAAAACTCTTCTCTCTGATGGGAGATTCAAGAGTCTATTTTGACATTTGAGGGAAGTGGAGGGTAGGGGAGTTGGATGAAGGTGGTCAAAAGGTACACATTTCCAGTTATAAGATATATTCTGGGGATGTAATGTACAGCGTGGTGACTACAGTTAACAATACCATATTGTATATTTGAAAGTTGCTCAGAGTAGATCTTAAAAGTTCTCATCACAAGAAAAAAAATTGTAACTATGTATAGAGATGGATGTTAACTAAAATTGTATTAATCATTTTACAATATATACATAAATCATTATGTGGCACACCTTCAAATTATACAATGTTATAGGTCAATTATGTCTCACTAAAACTGGAAAAAGAAAGGAAGAAATTCAAAGCTGAGACCTGAATCTCAGGTCTCTGTTGACCTCAGGTCACCCTTGACCTTCCTTTCTCAAGGTCGTGAGCTAGGGCTGCCCTAGCTGTTGCCTGAAAGCGGGGGAAGAATTGAGGAAAATACAGAAAGCTGCTACATTTCCTTTTCTAAGATGTCATAGTACTCTAGGACAGTCCTAGTATTCTCTTTGTACACACAGAATTTACTTTAATGATTTTGTATTTCATGAATTTTTTGAAATTTAAGAAAACAAGTTGTCAATCTTTCTGGACGAATAGTACAACCTTATGCCCATAGTTAGCCTCCCACATTCTCTACAGTGTGCTCTGTTCATGACCTTGGACATGGTGAGGACAACGGAGAACTAACCAGATTCTTATTTTCGTCTTCTCAGATATGAATGTAAACTGTTTATCCAGTGCAATAGTAAACACCCTTCTAACGTATGCATGCAAATCGCCCTTTTAAAAAACTTGATTTTCCAAAAATTAGATTTTCCCCCCTTTGGGGTCAGTAGTTTATTCAGTTTCTGAAGTAAAGGTGATCTATGTGACACCAAAAACTCCCAGATTAGTTCATTAGATTTTAAAATAGCTTTTGAAGCCTAATTTAGAAAACTTGAAATTCTCCTCTTTTAAGTGTACAAATCAGTGATTTTTATCAAAATCACAGAGTTGTATAACCATCACCAGAATATAATTTTAGAATATTGCATCACTCCCAAAAGACACCTCAGTACCATTTGCACCCCTGCCACACTAATATGACTTCTCTATGGATTTGCCTATTCTAGAAATTTCATGTAAATGAAATCATATAATATGTGGTCTCTTATGACTGGATTCTTACTCTTAGCATCTTGTTTACAAGATTCATCAAGTTGTAGCATGTATCAGTACTTCATTCCTTTTTATGGCTGCATAATATTCCATTGTATGGATTACACCACATTTTGTTTATCTATTCATCAATTGCTAGGCATTGGGGTTGTTTCAACCTTTGGCTGTTGTGAATAATGAATTTGTGTCTGGCTTCTTCTACTCAGCATCATGTTTGTGATATTCATCCATGTATTACATGTACCATCACTTGTCTTCAAAATTTCTCCCCTTTTGCCAAATATCGAAGCTTTTGCTCTTGCCTCACTGAAATGTGATGGGTTAAGTTCAAGACAGGAAGAAACGAAACTTTAGCCGAGGCAGACATTATCTACATATGTAGCTTATTCTAAAGGGAAGAAACATAGACCAAAAAGATCCCAAGTCTATCAACTATCTGTGAAGAAGGGAGTGGTAATGTCTCTTCTATTTAATTAAGAATATTTTGTTGTTGTTATTCTTTCAAAGAAACCATTATTATTTTTTTTTAATTTGTGATTAGAGAGGGGCCCAACTGTTAACAAAAGTAAACTGATCCACAGACATCAGACAAAGGAGAGGTAAAGTTTTCGGTCAGCTCTGCCGAGGACGGGAGGCTGGCAGAGCTCTTCCTCCATCGTCGTTTCTCTAGGTGGCATTCAGTGCTGGTGACAGGAAACTCTGGTTTAGGGCTGAGGCAGAGCAGGGTTCTGAGGAAAAGGAGGCATCCGGCATGTGCCTTATCACCTACTTCCTGCAAGGGGCTCAGAGGAAGTCACAACCACCAAGAACGGTGGAGTCTAAAGGGTCTCTGCTCCTGTCATTGCCATGCATAGGGGCACTAATCAGTGCAATGCAGCCAGGGTAGGGCGGGGAGGGGGCTTGTTCCCACGCGATATAGTCAGGGTCTCACTTTAGCTTTTACTATTTTATCTAGAAAAATAAAGAGGTAACAATAGAAAAAAAAATCATGCCAAGGGGGTAAAATACACGGATGGGAAGTATAGAGATGGGAGAATAGAACTTAACTCATATATTCCCTTACTGTGTGTGCGTGCATGTGTGTATGTGTGCATGTGTGTGTGTGTGTGTGTGTGTGTGTGTGTCTATGAAGAAGCATCCCTGCTCTAGTCAAGGCTATGCCACTGATTTACACTCAGTTTACTCCCCTGTAGCACAAAGGGGATGGACCAGATGTTCTTTAAAAGGAATTCTAACTCAGTCTATAATTCTGTCAATACAGGTGTTTCCTGATTAAATGTAGGAGCTTCAGTTTTCTCAGTTGTAAAATGACTTTTGCAAGATGGTTGGGAGAATTAAAGTGCATAAAACAGTTCCTGGAATATAATACCAGAACAAGGACTATCGGGACTATCGTTAGATGTTATTATCACATGCTATGGTATACCATCTGTTAGAAGTATTAATGCCATTGTCTGCTTTCATCTGAGACATGTTGACTGTTAGGAATTTACTCCTTTCTTTCTGTCCATATGATTTGAAGGGCACCTTACAGAAGATAATCTTGCTACACAGGGTAGGTTATTGTGAAAAAGATGGACTGATAACTTATAGCTTGTTCACACTGCATTATAATTTAAGAGTGTCTCTGACAGACAGCCACTCTTCATTCTGGAGGTGGTTCATTTCTTTTCTTGAAAAAATCCTGGTATGGAGTCAGTACTGTATCTTTAATAACATCTTAGAATCATGGAAATATGATAAACCGATGTCTTAGATAAGGCTTCTGCCCAAAATTCAGGCCACCCAACATATGCAATGCTGTAAAGTATAGAGTACCTGCTTGCAAGGAATTCACCCTCTACCTAAATGTGTTACGACAGAAGAGAGACTGCTGACGTCCGAGGCTGAGTGAAAACAAAGCCACTGGAGATGTCATGACGTTGTACCACAAGGGTTCAAAGGTGTGGAAAAACCACATTCCACAGCTTGTGGCAGGGAAAGCATGAGTGGCTTCTTAGAGGAGGTGCTATTCGAAGAATTGATAGGACACAATAGGAGATATTTTCTGTGGTTCCCAAACTTGGGTGAGACCCAGAATCACCTGGGTACCACTTCCTAAGGTTCTGACTGGTGAGGGCTGGAGTACTGGAGTCTGTACCTTTTAAAAGCTCCCCAATGATGCTCATGATTAGCCAGCTTCTCCTACAGCATATTTGTTAATTTAAAAACACTTCTTAAGCATTTGCTGTATTCATTCACTCAATAAATATTCATTGAGCAACTACGTTATCATAGGTACAGTTCTGGGGTCCTATGTACAGCAGGAACAAGGTAAAGGGTTTATATTCTAGTGGAGAAATATGCATGGGGCAGTATATCAGGAGATTTCATTAATAAAAATAAAATAAATCCATTCTTGGTCAATAATAATGAATCAATCAATCTTTTAAGGGTCCTATAATTGTTAGATAAGGAGACACTAAATTCACCCCTGAAACAATTCAGCTGATGTTTCAAAATTCATACAATATAGGGACCCACTGAAGTTTGCCCTTATATTACCTAAGGAGGCAAAGAGGATCTGGTGAAGTTGTCTAGAATATTAATAAGGAGGAATGTTTCAGCTGCCCTAGCAAGCAGAATGTATTTGTGCCTCCAAAGAACTGCTGTAAAATAGAAATCATCTTTTACTAATCGTTAATGTGGGCTGTTTTAGGTGCTCCATGGGCCATACTTGATTAACCAATGTGGGACTGAAAATAACAAAACTGCATTTGTTTAAACTCAGTATAATTCTTATATAATTATAAGTTCTTTTTGGTTAATTTAATAATTTACTATGTTATCCAGTAACATAGGTGCTGAGTGGGGCACATATGCATCACAAGTTTGACTTGAAATAATATAGATTCCCACAAACTAACCCTGGAGAGTCTGATTCTGTAGGTCTGGGCTGGGGTCTGGGAGTCTGTAGTTTTAAAAGTTTCCCAGTGATTCTAATGTGTGATATTGGGAACCACAGGAAATAATTAAGTGTGGAGTCGGGGTGGAACCAAGGAGAAACCAGAGTCTAGTAATGACTCAGCTTAATTCCTCTTCCTCCATGAAATCTTTCTAATTCTTCTAGAATATTCTCAGAACTCTGAGGCCACGAAAGCCTGCTGCATATGCTCAGTTTTTCTGAGATTATCCTCTGTTTCTTCAGAGTTTGTCTTGTTTCTCAATAGAGTCTAAAGCTTATTGAGATCAAAGACCCTGTCTCAAGTATCTCTATGCGCTTAGATCTGTGCTCAGCAGCATGCTAAGGTATGTGAGTTTATACTGAGAAATCCTAATAAATGAAATGGTGCAGACGTCATAAAGGCAACAGATGCTGATTGAGACGGCTGACATCATACAGACTGCCTGTTTTGCATCTGGCACTGGTAAGCACAAATAGTCTTTTGGAAAATCCACAAACAACTGGACTTGCCCTCTTTGATGAGAACAAAACTGCCCAAGGGCAGAGCATCTCACCTTGTCCTCTTTGCCAGCTGCCTGCTCACCGGCAACTTAACCAAAGGAGAAAAAGTTCACTGCTCCAAAATATGACTGTGGGCTCTCCGCCCGTCTCCATTTCCTCTTATAGAAATTATATGTTTGCTTTTGATAGAATGAATCAATCTATCAACAGTTTCCCTTGTGCAAAAGTAAATGGTATATTAATCAACTATATGCCTTTAGATTATTCTTTGACAATATTCATCATCCCTCCACCTTCCCATCACAGACTTTCATTCCCTACCTGATATCTTCCCAGGTGTCCTTCCCTAAGCTCACCTCTAGCCACTGTCCAAACTGGTAATGCTTACCGGTTTGGGTGATCAACTGTCCCAGTTTGTCTGGGACTGAGGTGTGGGGGCTCTGGGGCCTTAGGACTCTCAGTTTTAAAACTGGAACAGTTCCAGGCAAACCAGGATGAGTTGGTCACTCCAGCTTCAGTTTAAGATTCTTAAAGATAGGAAATACCTTCAAACCATAACTGGGAAATGGCAGGAACATGAAATGGCAGGAACAGGGCTAACATTTTGGCACAGAGAGACCGATGCCTCCATCAACCCAGGCCTACCCTTTACTGGTCTCACTGGTGAGGCTTGGGTTGGGCGCGGGTCATTAACATCATTTGAATATTAGATTCACCTGGAGAGATTTTCCTCTAAATTACGAATGCCTGGACCCTACCCACTAGAGGTTTTCTTCTTTTTTAACATCTTTATTGGAGTATAATTGCTTTACTATGGTGTGTTAGTTTCTGCTGTATAACAAAGTGAATCAGCTATACATATACATATATCCCCATATCCCCTCCCTCTTGCGTCTCCCTCCCACCCTCCCTATCCCACCCCTCTAGCCCACTAGAGATTTTGATTTAATGAATCTGGGCTGGTATTTTGAAAATGTTTCCCAGGTGATTTTAATGTGCAGACAGGCCTGCGAACCACTGCTCTAAGCAAATACGCTGATAAATTGATTGATTTCCCTGTAGAAAGCTTTCTCTCAATACCTGCATGCGTTGGGTTTCTCTGCAAGGGCCCTAAATGTGCAATTTTCCGTGCTACTTTAAGTGTGGTGTATGGATGGGTGCCAGTTAGCAAATTGTTACTAAAAATTGAGAGTAAGCATTGAGAATCTTTTTATAGCAATCAGAGAAATTTTATGTCTAATGAATCTAATACTCATAAAAAATTGGACTTGCATTTTTTATGTCTTTGCTTCTTATTTTTGCTTTTTATTTTTTCTGATAATTCATTTTTATTGTATTTTACAAAATGTAAGTCTGTGACAGATTGGGAATTAAAAACCAACCACAAAAAGTAGTCCATCACCACAGGTACTTTGAAAGGCACTGTTTTAGAATCACAAATGATCTTCTGATCCAGGAAGAGAAGGTTTTACCTTGCGTGCCAGTCAATTGATGGCAGCTTCCTGGAGCACTGTGTTGAGAAGGATCCCAAAGCCATGAACTCTGATCAACTGTTTTGGCCACAGGGCCAGGAGCAGAGAGTGGCAGTATGAGTCTGGGGAATTGTCATCCCTGATTCAGCCCAGTACTCCTCTTGTACTCATTGAGAAACTGAGGCCCAGAAGGAAGAGATGTTTCCGAAGTCACACACTGAGTTGGAGCCAGAGCAGTGGCCAGGACCCATTACTTTCCTCACCACACCCTGCCTTCTCTCCCTTAATCCTGACACCCTTGTGTAAGCTCAGTCCTGCTCCCGACACCGTGTGGCTCTCAAGAAGAACGGTTGCGTGAAAAATAAGTTAAAACAAGTGGTGTATTTCCTCTATATCCACACACAGCCCAACCAGGCGGAATCTGAGGCACAGGCACTCCTGACCCAGCCAGAGACGCAGGCAAGGAAGACCAGCACCACAGCTCCCCAGGGCCAGCCATCACGGCCCGAAAGACCACCCACGGAAGCTGTGGTCACGGTCACACGTGAATACCAAGGACTTTGATCCTCTCCAGGTTTCTTATACTGGTGTATGCTAACCCTGTGAACCCCCAGAATGCTTTTACCAGACATGGACACCACTGTTAATCCAATATGTCAACTCGCTGCATTAGCACAAACCACAGCATGGCTGAAAAAAAGTAACACAATTCATTTTATTTGAAGTTAAAAGACAGTTTAAGGAGACTTACTGTGTCCAAAAGAAGTTTCTCAGCTTTGTCTCGGCTGATACTCTTATTGTACCACCTGAAAGCAGGAAAAAGTCATAGATCAATGACATTTTTAAAAACTTCATTATTTACTTACGAAAGATAATTAATGCCGAAAGTCTTTTGTTCTTTTTGTTTCTACCAATGCTTTCAAACTCAAAAGCAAAAGCATGAACCATTTCCAGGTAATAAAATGTTTAATTGGAACAAATGAATCAGAATTGGTGAAATGTTGATAATTGTTGAAGCTGGGTTTGGGGTAAATGGAGGTTCATTATATTTTTCTCTCTACTTTTGTGCATGTTGGAAATTTTCCACATTAAAATTTTAGAAAACATTTATCTTCTGCTCTATTTTGTAAGTCAGTGGGTGGTTATTAGCAGGATGATGCTAGGGCAGCTATAAAAATTTAATATAAATTTGAAAGTGTAGCAAATATCCTTTTAAAACAATTGCAGTATTTTCCTCTGTAAGACTGGTTTTCAAGATCTTCTGCAAAATAATTACATTTTTTTTTCCCAGCTGCACAAAAGCTCCTGCACAAATGGCATTGACAGTGTCTCATAAGGCTAGTTTATCTTTGTAAAAAATGCAAATGTAGAAAATCCTTAAGCATTCCTGTTATTCCTTGTCAAGGGAATGCTAAATTTATTTGCTGAAAAAACTAAAATATTTTAATGGATGTAATCTGCTAAAAGTAAGGTAAACATTCACATATTTTCTACTCTTACAAAGCGAACTAAGCTGAGATTGAGCTTCAAAGTTGGTTTAAAAGGAAAATGTGTCACAGGGTTCATGTGATGACACGATATTGTTTAATTTTGTGTTTCTGATTTTATCATAGAGCTGTTTTAATTTCTTAAAGATTTCTGGCTAATTTTCTCAGGATAAGTGTCTCATTTCTTCTCTGGAGAAGTTTTAAAATCAAATTTTCTATAAGCAATTTGAATAATAGATTAAATGTATAAATAAAAAAAGAAAGTAAAGATACCTCTTGATTTTTGCTACCGAAGAATGGATCTTAAACTGAAATAATTCATGTCAGACACCTTTAGGAACCAATGCAGTGTGAAGGAATGATTTGGATAATGGGGAAAAGCAAATCTAAGTACACTATGGGTTCAATGTCATTTTTAATAGCTTGATTTCATTAACATATATAGTGCCGAAAGCTCTTCTTCATACATCTGAGCATTTGAAACTAGCAGTCCAGCTCCTTGCCTGGCTGGCCATTTATCTGTATGTGTGGCATATCGTACTCAAGCAAGCAACAACAGATGACACGTAACATAAATGCAGTGTAGTATCATTCTTGGAATTTTAATGACTGATGACGCTAAACTAGAATTATCCAAGTTATACAGAGATGCTAACTGACTTTTCATAAAGTTTCCATTAAAACAGCCTCGATATGAACTTTGGCTTCCTGAGTATGCCCTGATTAGTCTCTTTTGCATCAGCTGTAGCTAGGCTGACATCATATCTCTGGTCAGTGGACTCTATCAAAGTTTGCTGCAGGGAAAGCTCCAGCCATACTCTGGTCAGAGAACATTAAGACTGCAAAGAATATTTAGCTTATGTGTAGCTCACCTATCATGTGTCAGAAAGTGTTATCAGCAGGTTATGGGACTTGCCCAAGGTCAATAATGAGCTAGTAAGGCATAGCCAGAATGTGAACGCAGCCATTCTGGCTCCAGAGTCCATGCTCTTATCACCACCATAAACAGCCTGCAACTATCATATACCAGGGACTTAAGGAAAAACATTACCAGGCTCCCTCCCTCCCCCCAGAAAATCCTAGTTTGCTATGCTGTAGCCCCCAACTCCACATCTTTCAGGGGTTAAACCTGTCAGATACAGTTCTTACGATCTGCAAACTCCTATAAGGAACGTAATCTTCGCACTATTTATCATGTGCATGTTCTCACATGGGTCCTTCTTTCCTTATCTATATTTCAATCCAAAAATTAAATGTGTAACATATAAGTTTGAAAGAGAAATGAAATGGAGTGAAATAATTTATATTCTTTTACTACCCCTACTCCCTGTATCTTCTAAAGTAGAGGTCTTCAAACTGGAGCATGTTCAAACAGGAGCATTATTTTTATAATTTTGTTGTCTGGTGAAAAAACAACTAAAAAGTGGTAAAAAAAAAGAATGTGAGTGATTTTTTACGGTTGAAGTTTTTCAGTGTTGTTAACACTTGAACCATATCCTGGCCTCCCTGTCCACTTATTAGGTTAGAGGAGATAGAATGATCATCAGTTAACAATCAGTTGTGGAAATTAATAAGCCCAGGGGGAGAGAAGTTCTGGGTGGGGAAGCAACACCACTTACCAAACTTGTTTGGTTATTTGAGAGTAGCCACGAATAAGGGAATTAGTGGATTCATCTGAGCTTTTTAAAAAAAAATTGTTCTAAATTAATTGGATTTACAATGTTGTGTTAGTTTCTGCTGTACAGCAAAGTGAGTCAGTCATACATATACATATATCTACTCTCTTCTAGACTCCATTCCCATATAGGTCATTGTAGAGCACCAAATAGAGTTCCCTGCACTATACAGTAGGTTCTTATTAGTTATCTTTTATATATAATAGTGTGTATATGTCAACCCCCAATCTCCCAATTTATACCACACTTTCCCCTTGGTAACCATAAGTTTTCTACATCTGTGACTCAATTTCTGTCCTGTAAATAAGTTCATTTGTGCCATTATTTTAGATTCCATATAAGAGTGATATCATACGATATTTCTTTCTCTGTCTGACTTACTTCACTTCATCTGAGCTTTTGAACACATGCAACTGGATGGTACTTTCCAACTCAGTGGGCTCTTAGAACTTATTTAGTTGAAGCCTGGCAAATATGCTTCATCTTACATGTCAGCTCTGATCAGTTAGTACTGGCTTCCTGGAGCTGTGTGTTGCAAAGATAGAGGCCAGTCTGAGCTCAGGGAGTAAGAATGTCACTATCTAAGAGTGATGTCTGCCCTGAGTTCAGGCACAGGGAGGGAACGTCAGCAAGAGTGCCACGATTCGCTTTCCTTCATCTTACCTGACCCTTCAGTTTAAAGGCAAAGGGATCTGAGATCCAACCTGGTGAAGAAACTTGCCCAAAGTCATGTCCCCAAACCATGGCAGGGGACCTGAAGCCAATCAACTTACCAACCCATGATCATGTTCCCGGGGTACAATTTTGAGTTCTTATGCAGATATCTAGACAATGTTAAGTTCAAGGAAAAAAGTAATCATATTGGGCCTTTTTTTTTTTTTTTTTGGTATACCCAGATATAATAACCAACTATCTAGATGCTTGTTTATGAGTCATTTAATTCTCTAGCTATGATTCCATATCTGAAATGCAAACTGACAGAGTGCAGAATAAATAGAGTTCACAGACTGTTTTGTTTGTATGCTGTAGTGTTTCATTTTAAAAGTGACTTAAAATATCTTCAAGAGGGGGAATATACCATTTTTTTTGCCCCAAGCTCCATCATTCCCTATGGGCTTTTACTCTGTTGGAAGTTTGAATGTGCCCCTTCTATCATAAATGAAGAAATTCTGATTAAAAGTAAAAAACCAAAACAAAAAGAAAACTTCCCAGCCTAGTGATCATTTGAAATAAATACCTATTTTTTTCTAAAGATGTTGACTGTAAAATAACAAAAGAATTTTATTTTTTAAGCATATCTCATATATTTCATTACAGCTTGAGTATTTTTGGAAGTGATGACTTCTGTTAGCTGAGGGAGGGGCTTCTCTTACCTACTTGATCAAAATGAATCCCAGGTTGAGAGTCTCTTCAGAAAATGATAGTTCTTCACTATAGAATCTATTAGAATTTCAGCAACAAATAACTTGACCACATTTGAACTAATAAGAACACAACTGAGTTAATAGTAGGTTTCATTAGCTATCATTCTTCAACCCTGGTATCTTAAGCTTGATAAATACTTAAAATTTTATCTTTAAATGATTTTGAACTTATAGAAAAGTTGTAAAATACTGTAAAAGAACTCCCACATATAGATGAACCAATTGTTGATATTTTACACATTTGCTTTACCATTCTGTCCAGATAGATAGAGAGATAGGTAGATAGATATAGATAAATAGATTTTTTGAGCCATTTGAGAATAGACTTTTACCCCTAAGTACTTCAGTATGTATTTCTAATAAGTAGAATATACACTTGTATAACCATAGTACAATTACCAAAATCATGAAATTTAACATTGATACAATACTATTACCTAATTTTAGACCTTATTCAAATTTCATCGGTAGTCTCAATAATATATTTTGTAACTTTTTTTGTTTTGCTTTTTTATGGTTCAAGATTGATCCGGGATTACTGGTGCATTCAGTTACCCCATCTCTTCAGTTTTTTAACGTGGACCAATTTCTCAGCCTTTCATGTCGTTCATGGTATTAACATTTTTGTAGAGCACAGGGCAATTATTTTGTAGACTATCCTCAGTTTGGATTTGTCTATTATTTCCTCATGAATAATTCAGGTTATGCATGTTTGGGCAGGAATATCACAGAAGTGATGTTGTGTCCTTCTCAGTGTATCACATCAGGAGATGCACGGTGTCTGCTTGCCCCATTATTGACGAGAACTTGGATCATTTAGTTAAGATGGGATCTACCAGATATTTCCTCTTTGTTATTAGTAAGTGGTTTGTGAGAAGATACTTTGAAACTATGTAAATATCAAACCTTTCACCACCTATTTGTGACACTCATTGATGATTTTTGCCTGAATCAGCTGGTACTTTGAGTTATAAAATGGTGATTTTTAAACTTTATCATTCCTTCTACATTCATTAGTTGGCATTTTGCTGCAAGAAAGAGCTTTTTTCCCTTCTTTCCCATTGATTTATTTACTTACTTATCTATCAAGCTATTTTCTTATTATTGATTTTTTTATTTTACTCAGTGGATTATAGTCCCTTACTGTCATTATTTATTTTGATACTCAAATTATCCCAGATTTAGTCACAAGGAGCATTTTTAAGCTGACTTCTGTGATCATTCAATATGTTCACATTATTTAACAAAAAAATATTTGGGGGTACTTCTTTACTTTTTGATGCATCAAAATGTTCCAGTTCCATCGTTGTTCTTTCCCTGCCCCGACTCTGAATCCCCAAGCCATTTCTCCAAAAAGTCCTAGTTCTTTTTAGTGGGAAGTGTTATTTAAAAACCAAGATCTGAGTGTACACATGGCTACTGTAGTATTATTGTTTCTGGGCCTTCCAGCAGCTGAGCTAGGAAATACATGTACATGGTGAGTACGCTGTACTCTACACTTGAATTTTATTAAACATTAAGTAATTCCATTAAAATTATATCCATGTGGGGCTTTACTGGTGGCACAGTGATTAAGAATCCGCCTGCCAATGCAGGGGACACAGATGCAAGCCCTGGGCCAGGAAGATCCCACATGCCGCGGAGCAACTAAGCCCATGCACCACAACTACTGAGCCTGCACTCTAGAGCCCATGAGACACAACTACTGAAGCCCGTGTGCCTAGAGCCTGTGCTCCACAATAGGAAAAGCCACTGCAGTGAGGAGCCTGCGCACTGCAATGAGGAGCGGCCCCCGCTCGCCGCAACTAGAGAAAGCCTGCACAGCAACGAAGACCCAGCACAGCAAAAAATAAATTAAAAAAAAAACAAAAAACTGGGCTTCCCTGGTGGCGCAGTGGTTGGGAGTCTGCCTGCCGATGCAGGGGACACGGGTTCATGCCCCGGTCCGGGAATATCCCACATGCCGCGGAGCGGCTGGGCCCGTGAGCCATGGCCGCTGGGCCTGCGTGTCCGGAGCCTGTGCTCCGCAGCGGCAGAGGCCGCAACAGTGAGAGGCCCGCGTACTGCAGAAAAATAAAAATAAAAATAAAAATTATATCCATGTGAGCTCTTCTTTTAAATGCCATCTTGAAATAAACAACACAAGCTAAGCAGATATTTAATACCTATATTTTTGTCTGCTATCTTGGTATTGGAAGTATTGCATTAAACCATGTTTTAAGTCAGTTTGTATTTGATCCAGTGTTCATAGTGTTTTTTCCTTCTCAAGTAAGATAAATATTCCTGGGATTCCCAGAAGAACCTTTTCCTTTGACCACAGTTATGTGCAGGCATCTGAAAATCATCCCTTAGATTAAAGGGGAGATGAGAACACATACCCTCCCCCTTCTATTTAAAGTGACCCTCGGGATTTCCCTGGTGGTCCAGGGGTAAAGAATCCACCTTACAATGCAGGGGATGCGGGTTCGATCCCTGGTCAGGGAACTAAGATCCCACATGCTGCAGGGGCAACTAAGCCCATGCACCACAACTACTGGGCTCATGCGCCTCAACTAGAGAGCCTGCGGGCCGCAAACAACAGAGCCCAAGCACTCTGGAACCCGTGCACCACAACTACAGAGCCCATGTGCCCTGGAGCCTGTGCGCCACAACTAGAGAGAGAAAAAAAACCCGCACGCCACAACTAGAGAGAAGCCTGCACACTGCAACGTAAGATCCTGCATGCCGCAACTAAGACCCGATGCAGCCAAAAATAAATAAATAAAATAAAGTGACCCTTGGGCTTCCCAGGTGGCACAGTGGTTAAGAATCCTCCTGCCAATGTAGAGGACACAGGTTCGATCCCTGGCAGGGGTAGATCCCACATGCCGCGGGGCAACTAAGCCCATGCGCCACAACTACTGAGCCTATGCTCTAGAGCCTGCGAGCCACAACTACTGAGCCTGCCCACCACAACTACTGAAGCCCGCATGCCTAGAGCCCATGCTCCACAGCAAGAGAAGCCACTGCAATGTGAAGCCCGCGCACTGCAACGAAGAGTAGCTCCCACTCGCCATCACTACAGAAAGCCTGTGTGCAGCAATGAAGACCCAACGCAGCCAAAATAAATAAATAAAAATACCTTTCTAATAAAAAAGAAAATAAATAAAGTGACCCTCAACTGTTTACTTAGGGATCAGAGTATGGGGGGAGAAGAAAGCAGGCCAAGAAGAGAAAATGTCTGGTATTTTATTAATCAACCAATAATTCACTCCTAATGTAAGAGGACTCCTTAGCACCATACTTTTGGAAAACAAATAAAATATCTTACTCGTAGGTTTCCAGGTTATTTGGAGACTTTTCCACCAGATAACTGCTTGGTACGTATCCTTCATGCCTGTTAAAAGGGAAATTAGTGTTTAGATTAATGTAGAACTAATTTCACATCTCCATTTCATAGGTTTAATCAACCAAAAGTCATTTAAAGATGAAGTCTCATGTTATTTAGCATTCGGGATAAGACATTTTAAAATTTTCAAAAAAAAGAATTGCTAAAAATAACAACCTGCTATCTGTTAAAGGCTATGTAGATTTTACCACTAAAATATGAATCATAATAAATAAGAAGTGGTTACTTTAATAGCTCTGCTTGCTAATCTCTTCATTGTGAAATTTCCTCTGGAAATTTCCTCTGGAAAAAAGATTAATGTTCAGTCTCTATTTTCTATTAGGAAACATTTGTATGTGTGTGTAATAATCAGTATTTTTTCCGCTTTAGTGCTAGTGTTTTACAGTCGGGAAACCAAAATAAATAAAACATAAAGAATTACTTTCCAACCACATGTGAGAACTTGTGAGATTTTAATTCAAGGCCTCCCTAATATTTTTTGTTAAATGAGCTCCTTCAAACATAAATGGTAAAACATGAGAAAAAAGGATAAAATCATGCTGGATTTGGGGTTGGGGGTTTCTTTTGAGCAGGAATAAATTGTGTATAAACAAAGGCATATGGATTAAGAGACTAATAAGAACATCAAAAGACCTTACACCTGTGTGTAGCTTTGTACTTTTCAAAACACTATCGCATTTAATACTGCAAGGTGAGAACAGTGTCTCCTTCACTCTCTAGGCCTCTGACTCTGTACCTGTAAAATGAAGGACCTAAACTACATCATATGTAAAATCCCTCCACACCCTGCAATCTATAAAAAGATGTCTCATAACTTCTTGCTGTTTACTCTATCACCTGTTTTAATTTTTGTATAAGGCCATTTTGTAATCTAGTGACTTATGTTTTTTTGTTTTGTTTTGTTTTTTAAGGTTTTTTTTGATGTGGACCATTTTTAAAGTCTTTATTGAATTTGTTACAATATTGCTTCTGTTTTATGTTTTGGTTTTTCGGCCACTAGGCACGTGGGATCTTAGCTCCCTGACCAGGGATCGAACCTGCACCCCCTGAATTGGAAGGCGAAGTCTTAACCACTGAACCGCCAGGGAAGTCCCTAGTGATTTACGTTTAATGGAGAATGTGTAATCTATTTCACAGAATTGTTCTGAGAAGTGAAGAAATCAAGAATGGTGATGTCAAATATGGGATATCTCATATCTTGTACCCATGGCTGACCTGACCTTGCTAGTCAATTATGGCATGCTTTCTTTGGAGAACTGAACACCCAGCCTCAGAATCATTCTTAACCCAGTGCTCAAGGCAGTCAGTGCCAACTGATGGGAGTCAACTTATTCTCAAGTTTGCTATTTCTTTTATGTCTTTCTTTTGGCACTCCTTTTAATTATGTCTGTTTTTGCCACACCATGTGTTTACAATTATATTAGTAGGTCAAATACTGTTTTCACTTTCACGTAGAATGACTGTCAGCCAAAGCTGGGTTATCTACAAAATGATGATAATTCTCTTCACCTCTGTGTAGGTATAGACTTGACAAAGCCCTTTCACTTTCTTCATCTCACTGATTTTCTCAACACTCTGAGATGGAAAGCTGATATTATCATCTGCATTTTACAGATAAGGAAATGGATTCACAGAAGTTCAGTGACTTTTCCAAAGTCCTGTACAACAAAAGCAGCTGATACTCAAGTCCAAGTCTCCTTTTTCCCCATCTTGTGTACTTCCTGCTTCACCAGGCTATTACAAAGCAAACTGGGGAAATTCCCATATGCCCGATTGGCCTCTGGGGTGTCCTCTTCGGTGGCCTTTGAAGTGCAGAGTTGAGCCTTTCCACAGGCCAATGAACAAAGGGTAAACTGTCATTTGGGGAAGTGAGACGTAGGAGAAGAAATTTCCTGGCACATTAGTTGTGCTAAAGAAATGTCAGTTGATTGAAGGGATGAATTTCTGAGTAAGTTCCTCTGGTGTTTGTAGAGCCAGGCAGTCTTGGACTTGTTTCTGCTACGGGCCTCCCCATAACAGACAAAGAGAAGGTAATGTGACTGGTCCTGTTTGTTTCCCCCAGTCAACTAGAGAGAGAGGTTCCAGATGAGGGGCTTTGGCGTCTGTTCTCAGCTAGCAAGAGACACTGCCTCCAAGATCACAGTTTTGATCTAATCTTGTTTTATACCTCTCCCTCACTTCCCCTGCAGTGGAGTTGATAACGCTACTTAAAGAGACGGTGCCTTGAAAATGTAAGTTTTGATATATATGAAAAGTAAAGCCTTAACTCTAAAGATATTTGTGTACCTCTTTGTTTTTACTCAACAACTGGTCCTTTTTTTTTTTGGTTAAGTTTAATGATACCCAGTGTTGGCACTCGAATACCCTGTTGGTGGGAATTTGGCAAAATTTTTGAGGGATTTATCTTTCAAAATTAAGACTTCACATAGTCTGACTCACCAGTTCCATAGTTAGAAATGTGAGATACATATTTTTTCCCAAAGAAAAAAATATTTTTTCAAAAAAATTTTTTCAAAAATATATAAATTTCAAAAGATACACGAGCATGAGCAATACAAGATCTTCACTGAGCAAACTGGAAACTAAATGTCCCACTACAAAATATTGTCTAAATATTTATAATGCAAGCATACATTCTAAAACTATACAATTATTTAAAGAATAAGGTAGATTTGTATGTGCTGATATGAAAGTATCTCTAAGATATATCATTAAAGGTTAAAAGCAAGGTGAAGACCAGAATGGACCACCTTAGTGCAAGTGAAAAAAGGATGCATTTGTATACATATAACTTTTTTCCTTAGGATGCACAAGTAACTTAATAATGAATACTTTTAGGACTGATGTGTGGGCAAATGGAGGGTGGCTTATTTTTATGTATATTTCTCGCTATTGTTAGTTTTTTTTTTTTTTATAAAGCATTGACATAGGCTATCCAGATGTTGCAATGATGGAGTGTTTTCTTTTTCTTTTTAAAATATTTTGAAACTAATAATAACCTCACACTTTGAAAATGTTTAAACCCTTAATATTAATCTAGAAAAATGTTAATTGCAGTGTGGTTAATATTTGCAAAATATTAGAAACAACCTAAGCATCCAAGAAGGGAATTTGCTAAATTATGGCACACTTTTATGTTGGATTTAGGCAATCACTGAAATCATCTTCTGGAGATGATTCTGGAGACTATTCCAGGGCATAGGTAAATACCTCTGATATTTAAAGGAAAAAAATAAAGCCTTATAAAGCAGTGTGAATCTGATAACTTTAAACTAAGCACTAATATCTAAGTCATATACATCCCAGAGCATTCTGAAAGTCAATAACAGTAATTTTCCTATATTTCAGATCAGAGGAGGGGTCATAAGATTTTTTTCATTCGAAAGTCCTATAGTCAGGGCAAACTGTACTTGCACAACTTTATTTTCTCCATGAATCATTCAGATGGCTAGTTCAAAGGCTGTTGGTTTAACTAAATCTTTAGTATTTTTTTCCTGATGCTTCTTAATGTAACCACCAATCTGCACCATCTGTACGCACCTTTTCTTTCCACCAAAAATAAGAGCCTCACAATGGGATGTACCTTCAACCTTACTTAAACACTCAAGAGCAATGGTGCTTTGTGGAACAAGTTGCCGTTCTCCCAAACTGTGGATGTCAGTGGAAGAACCCAGGAGATTTTTAGATGAGTTTGGAGGCTTGGAGTGCTTGATGGGATGCAGGGAGCCAGTATAGCAAGTGACTGCCTCCCAGCCACTTCTGAGAAGGGGAAAGACCCTTTTCAACTACTCCTTCCGTCCTTCCTCCTTCTGCCTCTGCTCTTCTCTCCTAACCCAGTGCCGTGGTCCTGCTGAGAGAGGTAGGACAATCGTTCCAGTATTTTCTTTGTTCCCACCTCACCTCAAAAACTGGGACAGCAACCACGAAGGTGCCTTACCCATTCCTGTCCTGAACTCTCCACCAGTGAATCTCGGAACTGTCCAGCAGGTAGTACTCCTCATTGCGTTGTAGCGTGAGTTCCTGTGGATCATTCGTTTGGTAGTCATACAAGGCAATGACCAAGGTTTCTCCAGGTTCCCGAAGTAACTGCTGGAGAAGGGACATAATAAAATCAAGCAAAGATGCAGAAAGGAGGTAAACTGTGGAACAAGGTCAGCAAGTTCCCGAGCTGTAACTTGCTCTTGGACCTATGCCAGGCCAGACACCGGTTCCTACAGTCCATTGTGGGTATATGCTGAGGCCATTTGCCTGCCTAGTTGGCTGTCTTTATGAGTTAGGCTTATGGTGCTGAATAGGACACAAAAGACATTCAATACCTGGAGTTCATTGCCTCTCCCATTCTATGTGGTAAATTCTGACTCCAGTGAATTCCCAGCGGCTGTGCTTTTCACAAAAGTCTGCTTGTTTCTTTCCTTGAACCATGTCACAATTCACAGCCTCTCTGCTAGAAGCATCACATTGCTCGCAAAGGGGATGAAGTCAACACTAAATCATTCAGTCCATATGCTTTTCTGATTTTATTTGTGGGCTTGTCCTGATCCATAGAATCATAGACTATTGGAGCTGGAGTGCCTCTGAGAGATCATTTGATCCATTCTTTTGTTTAGAATAGGGAAACTGAGGCCCAGATGGAGAAATGGATGTGGCCAAGTTTAGCAATTGAATTAGCCTTATGCTTTCTCTACTGTATCATGTGGGACCCCTTGTTCCTCTTGTGGGCTGTCTTGCCTATGTCTCTACTTTTCAGTACATTTCTTAGGAAGAGATATTGAGATGTGAAGAGGAGACTGTAAACAATCACAAGGGTTCAAGGTTGGGCACACCTGCTACAGGTTGGCAGACTTTGTGAGACAGCAAACATGGGAAGAGATTGAGATTACTGGCTAGAATGAGATTCGGTGATGGGAAATCATAAGTTCTCTGAGTACACTGAAGCAATCGGTGGCATAAACATACTGGAGATTAAAAAAAAAATTGTCATACTGATACAGTGTGTCATCCCAGCTGAGCCCAGATTGGAATTTGAAGTCAAGATTATCTGTGGAACTTGTGAGGTGATATATTGGGAACTACAGATAAGAGTTGTTGGGCCTGAGGCTTTCACCCTAAGAGCCACTGGAGGAAGGAGTTGTTCAAGGGCACCTGGAGATAAAGAAAGGATATGGTATGGTATTCATCTCCTTATAGGCCCAACTGATTAATTATTATCAAGAGAAGGGTCAGAGCAGGGCTCTCAAACCGTGTGGAACCTTTCCATAGGGGGCATTTTGGACATCTGTGGCAGTGTTTCAAAGGTCACAAAGGTTGAGGTGTGCTACTAGCATTGAATGGGAGAGGGTCAAGGATGCAAAACTCTCTGCAGCGTCCCACATCCTGTACAACTTTTTAATGTCCTGTTAGACATTCACGTGGTGAGCAGCCTGCTTACAACAATAATGTACAATAACACTCTGAGCCTAGATCCTACCTCAACCCTATGAAGTACTTGGTTTCCTAGGAGTGCAACCACCCTTTACATTGAGGGAAGATTACACTTTGTTTAGTTCAAAACTTGACCAAGAGTTGTTTGCCATTTTGGAAAATCGTATCACAGATGGTAATACTAGTTTTGAGTCACTGATACTACATTCCTGTATCAGTTGCATTGGAGCTGCCAAATCCAGCAGGATTCAAATACAGGTGCGTTTTATTTTATTATGTTGTCCAGTATAGTCATGCCCCAATATTTGTATATAAAAGCATATATGGGGACTTCCTTGGTGGCATAGTGGTTAAGAATCCACCTGCCAATGCAGGGGACACAGGTTCGATCCCTGGTCCTGGAAGATCCCACATGCTGCAGAGCAACTAAGCCCGTGTGCCACAGCTACTGAGCCCACGTGCCTAGAGCCCATGCTCTGCAACAAGAGAAGCCACTGCAATGAGAAGCCTGCGTGCCACAACGAAGAGTAGCTCCCGCTCGCCACAACTAGAGAAAGCCTGCATATAGCAACGAAGACCCAACGCAGCCAAAAATAAATAAATAAATTTATTTTAGAAAAGATCAATAAAAGTATAGCTTCTCTAGATGCCAACTCAAGATGCCATCACTCATTAGAAGACAGAACATGAGGGTGAAGGGAGAAGTGAATTCAGGTAATTCAAGATAAAAGAAATGTTACTGTGGATTTAGACGTACGGTTGAAGCTACAGCTGTGATTCCAAAAGCCCTGTGGTTGGAGTGCTAGAGCAGTATAGAGGCTTCTCCTCCAAGAAATCTGAGAAGCCAAGTGGTGGCGTCCAAGGGGAGATGGATAGGCCCTGTTTTCTGACTTTCACCTTCACTGATAGTGAAAACCAGACAGGAGCAAACCAGTCTAAGGTGCAGAAGTGCGGGTTTAGGTGAGACTGTGGGGGGAACCCCCGACAAGCCAGGGCAGGGGGATTCCGAACCATGTTTTCCAGGGTGAAGGTGAAATATTCTTTAGAAGATGAATGAAATAAAAAGGGAGAGAGCTCATTTTGTGCTACAATTTCAGTCCACTTCTTTCCTGTTGTGAGGAAGGGGGCTGACGACAAATCTGAAAGCCAGCCCGCTTTTGAGTGACGTAGAACTTCCCTTATGGGGAAACTGCCAGTCTTTGAAATGTTACCATATTGGCTGGAGGGGAAAAGCGGAGCTCATTCTTCAGGAAGAAGCATGAGGAAGCTGAATCAGTAGGTTCTAGAATAAAGGGCAATTACTCAGATGTGGATATTGGTGCTGATGTTACCATAAGTGAGGGCTTAGGTTGATCTTTCTCCTTTTTTTTTTTTTTTTGTCTTCTTGACTAAATAGCTTCCCGAGAGTTGACTTGATATCACCTAAGTCTTGTAAGTCAGTATATTAGACCGATGTGTCTCAAACTCCAGTGTGCCTCAGGATCACCTGGAAGTTTATTAAAATGCAGATTACTGGGCTCCTCCCCTAGAATTTTGCATGTAGTAAGTCTGGGGTGGGGCCTGAGAATTTGCGTGTCTAACAAGCTCCCAGGTGATGCTGATGCTGCTGGTCCATGGACCACACTTTGAGAACCACCACTCGAGTTCAAGACCACCACACCAGAAACTGCATCCTACTAGCCTGGCTACTAAGTTACTGAATGGCTTTGGGAGAACCTCTCATGGGACTTGCTTTCCCAAGCTTTCACTCATGGGACTTGCTTTCCCAAGCTTTCACACGAGAATAAAACTATAACCCTCTGAAGTGGCTAGAGAAGATAGTGAGTTTCGAAATAGCTGGTAAAAGTGTGGATGTGCTTTGAAGAATAAAAGGTATTCTCAGGGGCTTCCCTGGTGGCGCAGTGGTTGAGAATCTGCCTGCCAATGCAGGGGACACGGGTTTGAGCCCTGGTCTGGGAGGATCCCACATGCCATGGAGCAACTGGGCCCGTGAGCCACAATTACTGAGCCTGCGCGTCTGGAGCCTGTGCTCCGCAACAACGGAGGCCGCGATAGTGAGAGGCCTGCGCACCGCGATGAAGAGTGACCCCCACTTGCCACAACTAGAGAAAGACCTCGCACAGAAACGAAGACCCAACACAGCCATAAATAAATAAATAAATAAATACGTTGTGTATTATTTAAAAAAAAAAAGGTATTCTCAGATGTATGCTTCCAAAATGATTGTATGTCAAAGGGTGGGGTAAATACACATTTTATATAGCTGTGAGCTGTTATTATGCCCCAACCTAGTCAGGTGCCTGGCTGCACAGTTTTTACCAATAAGTGTTTGCCGAGTGAAGGCAGTGGGGTGAAGATCTGGTGGCTTTTACCTGGACACACCCACGAGACAATTCAGGCCCGAGAAACCCATGGTGTTGAGTTCAGCTGCATCACCACAAATCTGCTGCATCTGCCCGGCATTTGAGAAACCTGGGCAGTTGGGAAACACCAGAGCTGTAGCCCGAGGCGCCGCCAGCCCACCGCGCCCGGACCTCGTGCTCTCACTCACCCTGTTGTCTTCAGGAGTAGGAGGAAGAGGCTTCTTTGAAGCTGAAATGAGAAAAACAGAAAAAGAAAATGAGCATGGGGCTTCCCTGGTGGTGCAGTGGTTGAGAGTCCGCCTGCCGATGCAGGAGACACGGGTTCGTGTCCCGGTCTGGGAAGATCCCACATGCCGCGGAGCGGCTGGGCCCGTGAGCCATGGCAGCTGAGCCTGGGTGTCCGGAGCCTGTGCTCCGCAACGGGAGAGGCCACAACAGTGAGAGGCCCGCGTACCGCAAAAAAAAAAAAAAAAAAGAAAGAAAATGAGCATGAAACCGAATGTGCCCAACTAAAGGTGAGCGGCAGGGGGCTTTTCAGAGAAAAGGGGCCCCAAAGAGAACAGCAGGAGGGGAGGATGAGACACAGGGCCTGGGTTTTTTCTCTTTCAGCCTGCTCATTCCCAACCTTGTTTTCCAGGAGACACCAGAGACTTCCAGAAGCCAATATCTGGGCCCCTCTTCCTGTATCCCCAGGAAAAGCCTCGCCCAAAGGGGCTGACGTCGGTTCTCAGTGTGTGTCCTTCCCAGTGGGCACGGAGCCTTCAATGAAGGCACCTCCACCTGTTAAACCAAGACCTGGAATCGGTGACTCAGGGGGACAGTGACTCACTGGTTTCCTGATGCCCCTGTGGGCTTGAGCAGGGGTGGGGTGAGGTGAGAGGTCGTCGCGCTGCTTGTTGAGAGGGCTGGAATCCACTTTCAGTTAGTTATCTTAAGAACTCTCTGAGTATTTGTTCTTGCTGACTCCCCCAGACAACACCCCAACACCCCGCTCTGTTTATCTCTTTGTGTCTCCATGGCTCCTTCTCTCTGTGTCTCTTCTTTCCTCCTTTCTCTTCTCTTCTTTCTCTCCCTTTCCCTCTCTCTTCCCTTTCATCTCTCCATCTGTGTCTCTCAGCATTTGTCCTTTGAGGCACTAAAAAAGGTCAAGCCTGGAGTCAGCGGACCTAAGTTGTGTGTCTGTGTGTCTGGGAGGATGTGTGATATGGGAGGCAGTGCCCAGGCTTCGGCTCAGTTCAAGGACTTCTTTAACAATTAGAGGTAAACAGGGAGTGGGCTGCATCTACAGGCGGCGAGCGCCTCATCTCTGCAGGGGATTGACTTGGAGATGGGCAGCCTGTGTCAGGGATGTAGTAAGAAGAGATTCACACATTGACACTGGAGCCCAACCCTTATGCTAACTCCTTAAGCAAGGGCAGGATTGGGTATTGGGTGTGCAGTTAACAGAGAAGGAGACATACATAATAGAAAACATGGTTCCTATTCGGCATTCAGCTTGGAGCCAGGAGCCAGGTGTCCTAACCCCAGCTCCACCACACACAATCTGTGTGGACTTGAGCCCCCTCCAGCCCTGAGCATTCTGTGCCTAGTCTCTCTTTCTTCTTCCTCTGGCCTTGCTCTTGCCTGTCTTCCTCCCTCTCTGGGTGAAGTTCGTATGTGGTGAGGTCGGGGCCAGTTCTGGTTGCAGACGTTAAGTGCTGCTGTGCGTTGGGTATAGCACAGTCTGTTTAAAACTCAACCACCTCTGCTATTTCCCAGACAGACACACACATACTATCTCGGCTTCAGATTCTTCTGTCCACAAATGAGAAAGTCTCAGAGACACAATTACCATTTATTGCAAGCTCACTAAGTGCCTGCAGCTGTGCTAAGAGCTTTCCCCACCCACACTGAGTCTCCCAGCACCCCCACAAAGTAGCTACTTATTCTCATAATCCCCATTTTACAGATGAGGAGACAGGCACAGAGACTCAGAAAGGTTAAGTAACATATATGAAGTCACAGAGCAAGGACATGAGGGGGCTGGGACTCACACCAGGTGTTTCTCATCCTGAAGCCCTGTGCTCTTAGACCCTGCTTGGTACATGTGCCCAACGCTGGGAATTCTACAAGCCTTCACTCAGAGTAGATGATCACGTGCTACGTGCCCAGTGCAGTGTGCTTCTTCGAAAGTCTGCTCTCAATTCTGTCGAAACTAAGGTGCATAACGTTATTTAAACCAAGTCAGAAGAAGGGAAAGTGAGGACAGGCTCAGATGAGGAGATGGTGGTAGACTGCAACTCAAAAGCAGGAGCAGCAGCAGGGTGCAGTGGTTAGACCCTGGCTTCATGTGGGGAGGAGCTTAGCGTGACCAGTCCTACCCTGGTGAGTCATTCAGATGTTCCTCCCACCTCTATCATGTGTGTACCACTCAGTGGAGGGAAATACTGTCTGCCTTGGATAGGAACAGCTGCTACATGCATGGTGGAAATTGCAAAACAGAAACATAGATTCAAACAATTTCAGAATTGAAAATGGGCTTAGAGAATATTTCATCTTAGGACCCCTAAAACTTCCCCTTCCATTTTAGAGATGAGGATATTAGGGTCCTTTATGGCAAAGTGACCCATCCAAGGACCTACAGCAAGGTGCTGGCAGGAATTTGGAGACCACTCTGGCCTTGGAAAGAGCTTTCAGTCACTGAGGGAAGCCCACACCATCCTGTTCTTGTGGTTGATTCCACTCATATAAAACCTTCCATTTCTTTTTCGTGAGATACTAACCTTCATGAGGATGGTCCACAGGGCTAATGCAGGGGATCACTGACCTCTAAAACTAGGTAAATATTCTTCTGGGCCAAGGGACTGGTAACCTTGAACTTTCTCTCCCAAGGTAGAGGGTGAGAAGTAATTGTTTTCAAAGTGGCACTAGGGCTTCCCTGGTGGTGCAGTGGTTGAGGGTCCGCCTGCCAATGCAGGGGACACGGGTTCGTGCCCTGGTCCGGGAGGATCCCACATGCCGCGAAGCGGCTGGGCCCGTGAGCCATGGCCGCTGAGCCTGCAGGTCCGGAGCCTGTGCTCCGCAGTGGGAAAGGCCACAACAGTGAGAGGCCCGCGTACCGCAAAAAAAAAAAAAAAAAAAAAAAAAAAAAAAAAAGTGGCACTAAGAGGGGCTGCAACTCAGGAAGCCGCAGAAAACCCAGCCACGTGTTACCTTTAGCACATCCGCCTTGGGCTGTCAATCTGAGGTATTAGGTTTTAGTGCAAAAAAGAAACTGATGGATGAGAAAAGTTAAGTACGGTAAGAGAGGTTGAGAGGAGAGGGCTACGGAAGCAAACAATCCACATGATCCATCATTCCTAGTCAGCAATGGCTTTGCAGAGCACCTCCTCGCTGTATGACCTTGAGCATATTGAAGTCCTCAAGCTTCCTCTTTCTTTAACATTATACCATCTACCCCAGATGGTTATGAGGAATAAGAGTGTAATGTACGTAAAAGTGCATCAGAGTGGAGTTGCCCTTCACTGGGGGTTCAGGTCCCAAAGTCATCACATAAGATAAAATCTAGGTGCACTCCAATCTCTAGGACCTGGGTCTTTGACCTCAAAGGCCAAAAACCATTATCTTTTGTTTTTGCTGTGCAGTTAGGCTGTGGCCTCCTTTTCTCTGAGACTGTGGAGGTCAAGGGCAAGAAAGTAGAGGTGGGGAGAAGCCACATTGTAAAATGAGCAGTTTTTTTGGTTTTACTTTCTTCCCCCTCCAAGTGTATAGAATTCAACTTGTGTAATTGAACACGTGTGATATGATGCCACTGTAATAGATAATATTATGTATTTCTAGGGCTGTCTCTACAACTCCAGATTTGAGTAGACTGTGGCAATCAAATTTCCTAACTTGAAGGTATAGTGGTGCTATTCAAACTTTACTGTGCACACAGATCTCCTGGGGATCTTGTTAAAATACAAATTCTTATCCAGTAGACCTAGGAGGGAGCCTAGTATTTGCATTTCTAACTAGCTTCCAGGTGATGTTGATGCCACTGGTCTGAGAACCACACTTTGAGTAGCAAGGAGTTACAAAGATATCGACCTTGAGATGAGAAAACATCAATAGGGCTTCCCTGGTGGTGCAGTGGTTGGGAGTCCGCCTGCCGATGCAGGGGACACGGGTTCGTGCCCTGGTCCGGGAGGATCCCACACGCCGCGGAGCGGCTGGGCCCGTGAGCCATGGTCGCTGAGCCTGCGCATCTGGAGCCTGTGCTCCGTGGCGGGAGAGGCCAAAACGGTGAGAGGCCCGCGTACCGCCAAAAACAAACAAACAAACAAAACATCAACAGACTGGTGGTAGAGGCAGATGATTGCCTTCTGAAAATTTTGAAATTGTGGACTTTTGCATTCAATCCTGGACACCCCTGGTGATGGGAAGCAAAAAGCCTTTTCTTCCTACTAGTAGAGAGTCCAGTCACTGTACGAAGAAGAAAGGGAATTCATAGTCACTTACCATTCTTGGTGGGATCATACTGGGCACAGCCCACAGCAAGCTTCTCCAGTTGAGCACAGCATCTCCATCTCCCGTCCATCCAGAAATTAGGATGATACTTGGGCACCAAACTGTTATTATTTCTGGTTTCTGAAAGGGGTTGGCACCGGCAGAAGAGTTATTTCCAGGTCAGTCTATCAAGGGCCACCAACTTTATTATTCCTTGAGATTGACCCTGCTGTGTGAGCTTGCATGAGTATTGCCTAGAACAGTCAGAAAAATGGCCTTTTTTCTGGGCATATACATTTATGGAGGAGTGTATATTGAATTTAGGCATCAGCAGATCCGGGTTCTTATCCGGCTCTGCCTTGAGTTAGTTGTGTGTCCTTAGGTTGGGCAAAACCCTCATCTGAGCCCCAGTTCCCACTGTGCCATGATGTTGTTAGACTGGGACCATGGGCCCCACAAAAGTGCCTTAGGGAACTTAGGGAAGGCTGAATAGGTAGGATTCTCACCACTCCATTTCTCCTACCTTCAACTATAGCAACTTTGCTTTTATCGTTTCTAGATTTGTGGCTTTAAAGTCAGATTTTGGTACAGGAAAAAAGAGACTTTCCTCCTAAGGAAAAAAAAAAAAGTATAAAAAAACAGAGGACTAGACAGATGGTCTCTAATGCTTCTTTCAGCTTTAACATCCTGTGAGTAAAACCCCTCCACCGAGGTAGAACGGCCAATGAGCATAGTTGGAGCCCTTTTGGTTACTTCGTACTTTAGCGTTTGTTCTCTGCCCGTTGACTGTTAAACTTGAGAGCACTTCCCGGTTTATCTGGCATGTGCCATTTGGGACTCACAACAACCTTGGAAGAAGATAAGACTTGTATGTTTATTCTCATTTTTCAGATAGAGGCATCGTGGCTCCCGAGATTTCAAATGGCTTGCCTACCCTCAGTCCCCATAGCTACTTAGATTAATATTTGAACCCAGTTCTCCTGCAAATCTAGGGCTTCAGGCTAAATGACAATAAAATAATATTAAATGATAATAATAGCAAGATGGATTGAGTGCTTTCTTTGGGTATGATTCCAAGTGTCTGACATGTCCTAACACTTTTTTTTTAAACATCTTTATTGGAGTATAATTGCTTTACAATGGTGTGTTAGTTTCTGCTTTATAACAAAGTGAATCAATGTCCTAAACACTTTGAATTCTCACAATAACCCTATGACTGCCTGTTTCTAGTCAGAATTTATAGCTGAGGAAATGGAGACACTGAAAAGTCAAGGAATTTGCCCAAGGTCACACACTAATTGTTGGCAGAGCTGGAATTTTCTCCTTAGCAGCCTGGCTCCACATCTCATGTTCATAAACACTGCGCTGGTTCTGATTATGCTGTCGGGAAGGCGAGTCCTAAGAAGTACCCTTACAATGATCTGAAAACCTTTAAGGCTAGTTGACATTTGTTGGGTTCTGACTATGGGCCTGGATAGTCCCAAGGGCCTTACTCTTAGCAGCTCTGGAGGCAGGTGCTTTTGAAAAAATTTATTTATTAAAGTATAGTTGGGACTTCCCAGGTGGCCCAGTGGTTAAGAATCCTCCTGCCAACGCAGGGGATACGGGTTCGAGTCCTGGTCCGGGAAGATCCCACATGTGGCAGAGCAACTAAGCCCGTGTGCCACAACTACTGAAGCCTGTGCACCTAGAACCCGTGCTCCTCCACAAGAGAAGCCACTGCAATGAGAAGCCCTTGCACAGCAACGAAGAGTAGCCCCCGCTCGCTGCAACTAGAGAAAGCCCGCATGTAGCAATGAAGACCCAACGCAGACAAAAATAAATAAATATATAAGTAAATAAATTTATTTTAAAAAAAGTATAGTTGACTTACGATATTAGTTTCAGGTGCACAACATAGTGATTCAGTGTTTTTGTAGATTATATACCATACAAAGTTATTATAAAATAGTGACTGTAGTCCCTGTGCTGTACATTACATTCCTATGACTTATTTATGACTGGTAGTTTGTACCTCTTAATCCCCTTCTTCTCTTTTGCCCCTCCTCCCACCACCCCTGTCTGCTCTGGAGACTGCTAGTTTGTTCTCTGTTTATGTGAGTCTGTTTTGTTATATTCATTTGTTGTATTTTTTAGATTCCACATATAAGTGAAAACATATAGCATTTGTCTTTCTCTGTCTGACTTATTCTACTCAGCATAATACCAGGAGGCAGGTACTATTATTTTTATTCCCTCCTCCTCCCCTTGTTGAAAACAGATGGAGAAACTGAAGCACAGAGAAGTTAAGGAAGTTGCCCAAGCACACATGGCTAGTGAGTGGCGGAGCCAGGATTCAAACCCAGGTCATCTAACTCGATGGCCCATGCTCTTATTCTTCGTACTATACGAGGGGTCAGCAGACTTTTTCTTAAAGGACTAGGTAGTAAATATTTTAGGTTTTGCTCACCAGCAGGCACAATTGATATATTATGGAGGTACTTACATAACCTTTTTAAATAGAAGCATTAAAAAATATTAAAAACATCCTTATCTCAGACCTTTACAAAAGCAGGTGGCAGGGAGGATTTGCCTGACCCCGTACTATACTGGTTGTTACCCAAGTTGAAAACGTGGGACCCTCCACCAGCACCAAAAGGGAGAAATGTTTGACCATCAGCCGCCCTTTAGTCTATCACTGAACTCAAGCCTTCTAGGGGATCTAGGCATCTCAGGGATCCAATTGCACAGGAGGTTAATTACCTTCTTTAAGGGCCAGCACCCAGCGCTGCCGGCTCTCGCGATCTGGAGCAAACACATACAGGAGGTAGTTGTCATGCACAACCTGGAAACACACACAGAGTTCAAGGTGAACAGTGCAGCCAGAGATGTATGACTGACAGCAGGCCCACCTGGCTTACTGGGCCAAGAGTGGGGTCTCAAGTTGTCATCAAAAAGGCAAACATTTGGGTAATTTAGGGACTAGTGTCCTTTTTATCCAGGTGTTTGGGTGCTGTGCAGATACAGGGTGAAACTCCACAGCTCATCTTCGAATACATGTCACCAGTATGCCATCACTAAATCCAAATAGATGGAGAAAAGAGTTCTCCACTTACCTAGACAGGACGTTTACTTCTCATATTAATTTTTCAGTGATTAAAAAAAAAATCTGACATTTGAAAGAGTAAGATATTAGATGATAAATATATAATCGAGATTTTTTTTAAACTTCTTAATTTGAAATAAGACACCCAAGAATTTCCAAAGATAGTACAGAGTTCCTGTATACGTTTCACCCACATTTCTCCAATGATAACATCTTACATAACATAGTATGTTTTTAAAACCAGGAAATTGACATTGATCAAATACTATTAATGTACTACACATCTTTGGATTTCACCATGCTTTTCTTTTTTTCCATGCACTCTTTTGTAATTGGAATTTTAATGATGGGAAAAATATGTGTTATTCCTTTTACTTTTGGTACTAAAAATTCCAATTTGTGGAGGTCATATTTCTAGTAGGAAAAAAGTCCTTTTTTATGCCACATTAAAAAGTGGAATATTAACTCCTCAGATTGGTAAACATGAACAGTACCCTAGGATGTGCAAGAAGATATCCACTCTTTCAGAACCATAAATGTCAAGAGTGGTAATGAGATTTAGATGATGTCATGACCTAAAGACTAAATATACTCTCCACCAGCTCTGTCCAAGAGAACTTTCTGCAGTGATGGAAATGTTCTGAAACCTCTGCTGTCCAATAAATTAGCCACTAGCCACGTGTGGCTATTGAAGGTGTGAAAAGTTTATTCATTGAATGTGGCTTAGTGTGGCTCGGGAGCTGATTAATATTGTGTAATTTAAATTAATTTACATTTAAATGTAAACATCTGCCTGTGGCTACTGGCTACTGTATTGGACAGCACAACTCCATATAGTTCTCAGATTATAAAATCTGAGTCTTTTTACTCCAGGACCTCCAAGCAATTTATAACCAAGTGTTGTAATCTGTTGTCCCAAGTCATGAGTAAACCACCTTTATGGAATATTAGGCTTGGGGTCCTTGATAGCCTTTTTCCTCCCCGCAGGAGTAGAGTACTTAGGACTTTCTTTGAGGTGGGGAAGACATGAGGGAAAGGGATATGAATGACAACTTTTTCAAGATTTTGTGGTTAATCTTTGTTGAATGAATGAATGCATCATCGGTTGAAAGAAAACAGCAATTTCTTCTGGGCTTGGTCTAAGTTCTAACCCTTGACCAGAGTCATCTCTGTCCCACCTTCTTGTACAATGACTGAGCATTTTAACCACTGTCCAAGGAACGGGAAACTAGCCCCTTTTCCTGATGCACTTACCTGAAATGGATATTTATAGTGGCATGGGATGATAATGTCACTTTTCACAATCTCGACACATTTGATTCGGGAAAGTTCAATGGAGCCCTTCAAAGTGCGCTTTTTCTGTGGGGAGAAAAAGCACATTCCATTTAAGGAAGAAGGAAGACAATATTTTTGTCCAGGCTGCTTCTAGAAATACATTACTAGATAAGATCCACTGTAAACCAACCCTCCAAATATCCAGAAGCTCCTCCTTAGCCCTCAGTGCCTGAGAAGAACACTCTGAGCAGACTTCTGGGAGAACATGTTATTTGAATCATCTTTTTGATGGAGTGACTGACTTCTGTTCATTGAGCCACTGTGCCTTATATCCCAGTTACCTTGTGACAAACAGCGGCATTTGCAGAACTTACAGCTGGTATGGGTAGTGCAATCTATGGGAAACCACACATGTGCCAGTTTTTTTCTGCTTTGTACCTATTCATGGCCTTATTAGCATAGTAAGTAAGCTCAGGCCTGACCCGGTTGGTGACAAATACCTTTAGTGGCACCTTTCTTTTCTATATCTGCCTTCTCTGTGTCCCTTAGTTATCCATGATCTCACAATGGCACCCCTGTAGGACATTCCTGACTCTGCTCTGTAACTATCCCTTCTCCACACCCCCATTAAATTTTACTGGCCCCATGTCTCATTTCCTTGGAAGCTGCTAGGTGTATTCCTTGATAACTAATTCACATGATGGTCTTTGTGATTTATAACCATGTCACATGTTACCCATTTCTAAGGGTCCTCGTCCTTGGATCCCAGGGCATGTTAGGTTGGTAGACGATAAGGGTCCATAGAAGGCTAGTTAGGGAAAAGCTTTTGGAGAGCAGGAGCCTTTCACAGGTACCTGGAATTAGGCTTCCATTGACAATAGAGTTTAATTCAGTTATGGAACCAGTTGCAAAACACTTCATTTTAGCTTATCCTTAAGAAAGAGGTAGCACAGATGGTGGTGAATCAGGCACAAGGTTGGAAAGGGCTAGGGACAAAGTTGGGCTCTGCTTCTAACCAGCTCTGTGACCTTGGGTCATTCATCTAACCTCCCTGAACTTCAGTTTCCATGTCTGAGAAGTGAGGATAATAATGCCCACCCTTTAAGTGCTGATTGCAGAATAAAATGGGAGTATGTAAACAAATTACCTGGCTTATGATATGTGCCCTCAATAAAGGGTACCCTCCCAATGAAAGAGGTTAAAGAAGTCCAAACTATGGCAAGAGAGTTGTGATATATGAGGGCACTTGATGGGTATTTGGGAAGTATGACATCATCAGATTCTCCAGAAATGAGCTCAGGCTTTACTCACCACTTTTTGATACTCAGCCTAATGGCTAGCCTTTGCTTTAGTAGCTGAGGCACAGAATTGAGATGAAAAAAAGTCAAGATGTGAGAAGTACTCTCTATTGAATACAGGGAAGTTTTGTGGTATTTCCTTTTTTTAAATTTTCTTTCTGAAAACAAATTTATTCATTTTTGAAAGTACAAAATCTATCCATGTTCACTGTAACAAATAAAACAATATGGACGGGGGCTTCCCTGGTGGCGCAGTGGTTGGGGGTCCGCCTGCCGATGCGGGGGTTGCGGGTTCGTGCCCCGGTCTGGGAGGATCCCACGTGCCGCAGAGCGGCTGGGCCCGTGGGCCATGGCCGCTGGGCCTGCGCGTCCGGGGCCTGTGCTCCGCGGCGGGAGAGGTCACAGCGGGGAGAGGCCCGTGTACCGCAAAAAAAAAAAAAAAAAAAAAAAAAAAAAAAACAATATGGACGTATGTTAAGAAAATATTTCTAGTATTTTAGCATCCTCTCCTCCACAACTCTGAGCTAGCCAAGTTAACCATTTGGAATGTATTTATCTTTCCAACACATAGTTATAGAATATATAATACGAAAATGAGCATCTCTTCCACATAGTGGTCTCCAGTGTGCTTTTGTAATCTCAGGATGTATTAAGAGGTCAGTCTTCCCTTAAAAACCTCTGAAAACATGTGCCCTTTGGTCGCAAACTCTCTTCTCATTTAGAGTCTTTCACAGCTAGAAATACGTGTCCTGATCCTGCCCATAATCATAGTCTTTGGAATGGGTAATCTGTTTTCAAAAGCAGAAGAGCACAAGAGAGCTGTCTTCTCAAAAACCATCTGCCGCTACAGGTGATAAACAGGGAGTCTGAGCTTTGAGGTTATCTTGGTTTTCAACCTCTGTTGGGTTATTTCCTTAGTAGTGTACATGGTAAAATGCAACAGAAGGCTCATGGCAGTAACAGGACCACTCTGTTTGCAGACATTTTTGTCACCGGAACTCCTGCATTCCTGAGGGTAGAGACCAGGACATCTGTTACCATATCCCCCAAGCCTATCACAGTGGCTGGTCCATCATGGGTGCCCAGTTAGGATGATATAAACGAAGGGTGCCGAGTTGGAACGCAGCTTAAATAGTCTCAATCAGCCTTAAGGCTAATGCGTTTAGCCATTCAGGAATATTTACTGAGGGCCAGCTCTGAGCCAGGTGGTGTTCTGAGTGCAGGAAATAGAGAGATGAACATGGTAGACCTTCTCATGGAGCTCTAGTCTAGTTGGGAAGGCAGACAATATATACAAGTGCTCTAAGGAGAATAGGACAGGTTGATGTGGTCAACTGGTGGTCAGGGCAGCCCTCACTGGAGACAGGGCATTTGAGAAGAGATCAGAAAGTCAATAAAGGAGCCAGATAAGAGAAGGCCTGGGAGAGTGAGCCGTGAGGTAGAATAAACAGCAAGAGCAAAAGCCCTGGGGTAGAAACATTCTGGATAAGTATCAGTTGTTAATAGCCTGGGATCATCATAATCAGGGCATCAGGTGGACGTAAACAGTAACTGGAGTTGTGACTAGGGATACAAATTCTATGTGAAGTTCTAAAGCAGTGCTAACCCACAGAAACATAATGTGAGCCATATATGGAGTTTAAAATTTTCTAGTAGCCACACTAAAAATAGCAAAAAGAAACAAGTACAATTAATTTTAAGGACACAGTATTTTGTTTAACCCAGTATTTCTAAATATTATCATTTCCACATGTTATCAACATAAAAAATTGAGAGCTATTATGTTTAAGGGCTAAGACTTTGTGTATTTTACAAGATATCTCAATTTGGATTCTCCACATTACAAGTGATCAGTAGCCACACATGACTGGTGGCTACCTTATTAGACAGTGTGGCTTCAAGATTTCCAGGGAAGATTTCTCTAAACTCAGATGATTCTCTTTGGCTTCTTAATATTCACTGAGCTCCCACATGGATTTTAAGAGACTGTCAGGTGAGCCTTCGGTGGAAATGGATTTCACATTCTATCATCAAAGTTCACTCTCAGCCCCAGAGGAGTGACCAGGTTCCCCCCTCACAATGTGTCCTGCTTGGTCAGTCTGTCTGACATCCTAAGGCCAGTTCTCCTCAGATATCCAAAGATCTGCTACGTGGTAAATAGCAGGGTCAGCTGTGCCTTCCCCGAGCTGGGCGTCGGGGGACAGTCGGTCAGTGAGCTAAACACAGCTTTGTCTCTGGGAAATGGTGACTGCCTGTAATCATCCCAAACAACTGCGCTATTTCTGAAAATGCCAGCGTAAAACCTTCCAAGGAAGCCACATGAAAGCCACCAGAGAAAGAGAGACACCAAGTAAAACAGGTCCTCATTCTTCTTCGTTATTCCATCTGCACCCCTTGAGGTGAAGATCACAGAACTTCACTTGGCCTTTGTCTCTTTTCTTGGCCATATTCAAAGCTGTCCTCATATTGCAAAGCTTCACCCTGGACATTTGGTATATGTCAAACACAATCTAAAAAGATGCTGATGCCCACATATTTGTACAAGGTAAGCTTGTGCAAGTGGCTTTTATATCGCCTTTCTTTTTATGTTAATGTATCCTATGAAATAGAATTTTGGATTGCGACTTTTAAAGAAGGCAGGAAAAAACAAAAAGACCATAACATTTGGGAGCATTTCCTATACTTCCGGCACTCAACAGGCCATCTCATTTAATCACAGTCCTACAGAGTATTATTCCCCCATTTTGCAGGTGAGGACTTTGAGGTTCAGAGGGACCAAGTCTCTTTATAAGTGAGCATACAAGCTCAACTCTGTGACTCCAGAGCCTGAGTGCTTAATGACTGCTTCATGGCTTTGCACCTGCCCTGACTTAAGGTAGGAGACTTTCATTCCCCAAACCCAACGCTGAATAATCAATTGCATGACCAATTTCTGTAAGCCGTGACCCAGTGGAGATTTGTTTCTGCCTCATTTGGTTGTGAAATGCTTATGTTGGATTTCAGAGAGGTAGCCCAGAGCTCTGTCTTCGCTCCTATAACATTGGTGCCTTGGCTGCTCAGCTAGTCCAGCAGATACATCAGTAAGAAGCTGTGTGTCGGTTACCCATGAAAGAGGACATCTCCACCCTTCTGAAAAACAGTAGAACTTCAGCCTTCTCCTCCAGTGAGGCTGAGTGAGAGAGAAACGGAACTTTCATATCAGGCAAACCCATGTCTGCCTGACCAGCTGTGCAACCTCAGGCAAGTGTCTCAACTTCTCTGTTGCCTTGTTTTTTTTTAAGTGGAAATAATAACTGTCCCTGAATCAGTGGGTTAACTTAGAGGATTTAAAAGATCTACATAAACCTACTAGCAAAAGAAAATCATTCAAATGATAAACCACCCACCCAAGTGTTACTTCCTTTCCTTTCCTTCTCCAAATGCTGCCCATAGAACAAGACCTCATTCTCTTGTCTTTATGCGTCCACATTTTCTTTGGGGTTTTCTTTCAGGTAAATATGTAACTGAGAACCACCATTTGGGAGGACAACATTAATATTTAACTGGTGATCCTGGTGATTTTGACATTCCGGAGTTATTTGTTTACCTTGCCAATTATTTGTAAAACCAGGGCAAAACCTTGAAAGGGGCCTGTTGCCTGGTCTTCCCATCTGTGTCACATTTGCTCTCATTTTAGCAAATGTGGGGACTTTAGCTCTCTGCTTCCCTTCCCCCTCGCCCGTCAAAACCTTGCCCAAATAGTCATTCACCTAAGATTTAACTTCCTGGGAGCTTAAGGCTTGATTT